TGTGAGCCACCATGTTCAGTCTTACTGTACTTCAGTCATTTGTTGAACTTAAAATTAGAACTTTCTCTAAAGCTGGTCAGTGGTGGTACATGCCTTTAGTCCCAGCACTTGGCAGGCAGATTGCTGAGTTCAAGGCCAGCCTGGCCAATAGCAATAGCGTGAGTTCAAGGACAGCCAGTTACATAGGGAAACCCTGTCTCCAAATAAATTTTAAAAAGTTATCCTAAAACCATGTTTTCTCCTTTTTGTTCTCTAAACCCTATTACAGACAAACTCCCACCCTGACCATCATATCTACTGTGGACACAGTGTTATACAGCCATTCCCTCTCTCTACTCATATATTATTTCTACCACCCCAAAGGGAAACCTCCTAAGCAGCTTTCCCACCCCCGCCCCTCCCTGATACCCCTTGCAACAGCTGAGCTACCCTGTCTCTGTTGATGTGTCTAGTGGGGACAGTCCCATAATGGAGTCTTACAGTGTGGCCTGATATAGCTGGCTTCTTTCCAAGCTCATTACTATATTGATACTTTATTCCTTTTATTGCTGAACAATATTCTATTGGACAGTAATAGCCTAGTGAATGGATATACCACACTTTGTTGATCCATTCAACCACTGATGGACTGCCTTTTGTAAATACTTCTGCTGTGAAAATTGGTGTCTGAACACCCGTTCTCAATTTTCTTTGGCATACACTTGGGAGGGAATTGCTAGCCCGTGTGATGGTTGTTAGTACACTGAGGAACTGGGAAGCTAAGCTGGAGCTGGATTTTCCTTTGTGCATGCAATATGTGTGAGTAGCAGCAGAACCCTCCAAAGCTGCTTCTCTCTGCCCCATTGTTCTCTTAGAGCTCAACCCCCTCTTCTTCCAAACCCTACAGCAGCCTCACAAAGATGGCCTGGCACCAAGTCATTCAGAGCTATGCCAAGGAAAAGAACAGCAGTCTGGGACACCCCATTTCTCACAGTGACCACACCAAGTCCTTCTTTGCTGAGGAGCTGTCTCCTCCCTTCTTGAGTTTGAGTGGGTGTTTTGGGCCTAGGGAGACCATGGCTATTTGAGCACACTGCCCCCCCCCATTGTGAGGCTGGAGTAACTATGAATAAAGAGCTGAGAGGGGGCTGTCTGCAGTGCCCTGAGGCCTGTGCTGGCATGCTGACCCAGCAAGCCCAGGACCAATGACCTGTCTAGACTTGCCCATCAGTACCAGAAGCCCTTCTGAACCTCCAAGTGCAGCACTCCAGCCCCTCTGAGACCCCCTCACCTCCAGGAACCTGTATTCCAAACATGGAAAGTCAAGCCATGCATATGGCATAAACACCCCCACACCTGTCAGGTTTTAACACAAGTTGAGAATACCCAGGATATACAGCGCTAGGCGGGGGCTGTTCATAACAGAAGCAGCTGTGGGTTGTGAGCTACATGAACACGTGCAGAGAGCAATAAGCAAGTCTGTAACAGTGGCTCTCCTGAACCAACTCTCCTGGAGGTCCTCAGCACTTGGCTGAAAGAGTGCAACTCCCTCTGGATAGTGTCCACTCCACAGACAGAGCTCACATCTTTCTAAATGGCCTCTGTGCACTGGTCACCAGACTGCAGATCCCAGGAGACAGGAAAAGACCCTGTCCCCAAGCATCCACTTAGTTTCTGTATTCCTGAGGCTCAGCGCCGTGAGGTAAATACTGGGTAAAAGCTGGAGAACAGATGGTGGGATGATGATGATGAACGCCTCACCCCACCACAGCAGTGAAGAGGAGAATCTCATGTGTACCTGGTAGCTGTAAGAGACTCACAGGGGCTTGGGCAAGCCCAAGCGCCAACAGGACTGGAACCCAGGCCCGTAGCCCCAGCCTGGTAGTTAAAGATCCCGAATGATTCAGAAGCAATCACATGGGCTTAGAACAAACTTTCCAGAGGTCTAGATTGGAGAGTTGGCAGAAGTGGCTCATACAGTAATCCCCACATCAGGAGGCTGAAGCAGGAGGATTGATCATGAGTTCGAGGCCAGCCTGACCTAAATTCAACGAGATTTCATCTCAAAAGAGAAAGAAAAAAAAAAAAAAAAAAAGGAAAGAAGAGACTAGAGAAGGATGTGGAGGCATGGCATGCATCCTAATTGACTCTCACTCTATGGAGGGTAATCCTGGAAATTGGGGATAGGGGCGGCAGGCCCAGAAGCATGGCTGGGTGTGGCAATGAAGACAAACCTCTCATGTCTGTACTGGGGCCCTTTACTCCCCATGTCACCAGAGGAGCAGGACACGGCCACTCCAGCAAGCTCCCTAGAGCAGGCTGAGGGTCAGGTCTGGCCTTGGGAGGAAGAGAATAGACAGCCACTTTTTTGGGTAGGGGGAGAGCTCCTCCTTGGGAGGTGGGGGCCACCACATGTCAGAGGAAGAGAGACCCAGAGTTGTCTGCATTATAGTGCAGAAGAATCCAGTTCCCCAGATCCTGCTTTCCTCCCCACTGAGGTCTATCCTCCATCTCCAGGGGCAGCCACCTCTGGAAGTAGGGGGAGGCCAGCCTCACTGCCCTCCAGGCATGGTTCTGCTCAGCTTTCTGCTGGAAGGTTCCTGAGAAAGGAGGACTGTCTCCCTCCTCCCCTCTGTCTGCTTCCTATCCCAGCCAGTGTTTGCTGTACACTGACTGCCTGTGGACTGACAGGAAAGAAGAAAAGCAGAGTCTGTGGCCTCTTAACCCCGTGACATCAGAGCTGTGTTTTCAAGACATTCCCGGGATGCTCTCCCCACCCACCACACCAAAACTAGAGCTGTCCCCAAACACCAGAAAGAGGAGGAACGGGAGACCATGACGACCCTGCTGGCGACACTCTGGCCAAGGGACCAGGCTGAGAAAAGGCTCATCAGCAGGAACATGGCCAGCATGCCGGTGACTCTTGTCATGTTAGTTTCTCAAACTGACCAAATCTTTGGCCCCTCTAGAGCCCATTCCCAGAGAATTTGGGAGAAGCCAGTGTGCATACTGCTTTCCTAATCCCATCGGAAAGAGGAGGGCAGAATGATGGTCCCCAAAGGGCTTGAGTAGAGCAGGACCCAAAAGACCTGGGTTGACAGGAGCAAGGGAACCGTCCTGTCCAGAGGCATCCTTAGAGCTGGTATGTTGCCTGCTATGGGCCAGTGTGAGGCCACAGGGGACCACACACACCCACGGCAGCCAAGGGTCATGTAGCTAACCTACAGAGCCCCTTGGTTCCCAAGGGAACGGAAAAGAACCTGAATCACAGCCTCTGATGGGCTCTGCTATTTTTATGTCCAACTCTGGGTAAAAATATTTAAGCCCAGCTGTGGCCAACAAGATATTAAATATTTGAATCTTAGTACCCATATGTTCTCCTGCTTCCTTCCATTCCTGCCTCAGCATCATGACTAATGAGGCAGGTAGGAAACCACCTCAATTTCTCCAACCCTGGGGCCTTCTGGGGTAGGTGCCACCAAGTATCCCTGGACACCATGCCCTGGGGTCAGTGCTGCAGGAAGCACCCATGCTCAGCACACATTGATCCCTTGGGAGCAGTAGCATGTCATGCAGTGTGATCAGCATCTAAACAACTGGGTCTTCTGGACCAGCTAGTGCTTGACGAGTACAAGGAGAGCCTGTGCAGGCTGGCCTCGGCCCTGGCTTCCTACTGCAAGGTGGCCACAGCCACCTCGTATTCAGCGTCCAGTGCTGGGAGCTCCCTTAACAAAGACCAGGTGTGTTCAGAAGACCCAGCCTGCTCACCCCTGCCATGCAGCCTCCGCCGCAACAGTGAAGGGATCCTTGCCCATCCTAACCGCAAGTTCCTAAGGCAGCAAGCCTTTCTCTCTCCCCTTGCAACTGAAAGAAAAATGATGCAGCAGCATTGAGGCGCCCTGTGGGACGTGCTGGTGGCATGTGTACGCACGCTAGGTGCCAGCCTACTTATAAGTTTCTCAGGGTTAAAATAAGCAGCAGCCCAAGTATGTTCAGCACAGTGTGCATTGCTGGAGGCGAGGACTAACAGTTCCCCAGCAGGGAGAGCGCAGCAGGCCATCCCCGAGTGGGCCTCCACTCAGCAAGGAAGTCCTGCCTCCCAGGCTGACCCTACTCAGGCCTCTGGTGGACAGGAAGTGAGATACCATCCATCTGCCTGGTCTGAAGCAGCCAGACAGTGAGGACTGTCTGCAGGCTGTCTGGGCTCTGTGGCAAAGCCTGGTTCCCCTAGCTCCAAAGTGGGAAGAGCCTTCACGTGTAGGGTCAACACAGACCTACTTTGATTTGGTTGATGTGGATAGCGCCCTGGGGATTGAACCCAGATTCTCACACATGCTAGGCAAATGCTCTACCAATGAGCTGTCTCTATCTCCAGGACTTTCCAAGTTCTTATTTTGACACAGGGTCTCAGACAGTGCCCAGGCTAGCTGTAAACTTACCCTGTAGCCCAGGTTGGCCTTGAACTTACTGTCTTCCTGACTCAACCACCCAAGTAACTGGGATCACAGACCTATTGTACCCTAGGGCTCAGCCTCAGTTCTGATGGGCAGACTCCATGACAAACAGCCTACTGGATTCGAGGCAGACATTCCTTGGGGGGCTAGGGGGAATCCTAGTCTCCCTTTTGGCAATCAGAGATAACTGTCATGAGTCAGAGCCCTGACACCCTTTTTCCTGGAACACCTAAAGCCCAAATGACTCAGCCCAGCCCTGGTGACGATGTCGCAGCCACATCCGCCTCCCTGGCCCAGCAGCACACAGGGTTCCCCAGATGGCCAGTTCTGCCTTGCCAGCACCTGCCGGCCATAGCACACACCTCAGTGCCATTGACTCCTCCCCTACCCTCTGGGCTCCCCTCCAAGCCTCTGCGGGTACCCTGGAAGAAAGCAGGTTGAACCCTGAAGCTGCCACCCCACAGGAGCCTGGCAAATGGCAGGGCCCTGGGGGTTGCCAAGGAAACCACACAATTCTGTGTCTGCCCACTCACTGTCTGCCTGGCCTATCTTTTCCCTTCTTTCCAGTGAGAAGCGCCACCTTCAAGTGAACGTCACCAACCCGGTGCAGTGCAGCCTGCATGGGAAGAAATGCACCGTCTCTGTGGAGACCCGGCTTAACCAGCCACAGCCCGACTTCACCAAGAACCGCTCCGGCTTCATCCTCAGTGTGCCAGGAAACTGAGTGCTGCACATCAGAGGTCTGGCCAGGGGGAGCAAGAGCCTGAGCCTGGCACAAGGCTGGCCGGGCCCTCAGCCTCTCCATCCCCATACACGTTCCACCTTGCTCGGCATCCCAGGAGCCCAGCTAATTGCCTTCTGCCCTCTAATATCACTAGAAATCAGCTTGCAAGGACCTCCAGTGAGCAGGGTCCTCTGCCTTCTCTGAGGCCCCGCTCATGAGGGTCCCGCCTGGCCTTCTGCCCCTGCCTCTGTTCTCGCAACTTTCCATGGTCCCTGCTGCTCAGGAAACCAAAGACCCTCTGCAGCCTCCTGGGCTGACAGCTAGACCACCTTTCACCCCACAAGCAACTGGATAGTACCTGTAGTTGGGAAAAGGCCAGTGGCCACTGCTGACCCAGCAGAAGGGTAGGTGACCCGGAGCACAGGACAGTTTCTTCAGCCAAAGACACATTCTCCTAGAGCTTTGGAGCTAGTGTCCATGCGCAGAGGATTAGCCCTGCTCTGTGACCTACCTGATACCTTCCTTCCCCCACGTGGTTGCAGCCTTAGCACAAGCCCCACCCCAGCAGTCAGCCAAAGGCAGCAGGTGACAAATTTGCCTGTGAAGCCACCCCTCAGCCATGTTCAGCCAGGGGTCCCTCCTTCCAGAGCAGTCCCTGGGACATCTTTGCCACCAAGGTTCCAGACCAGGGCTTTCTGACCACTTCCTCCCATAGAGATGCCCTGTTGCTATTCAAGGGTCAGTCACCCTAACCTTCCTGAAGACTGCCAGGCTGCTAGTCAGATGTTCCCTCTGCTATAACCACAGTCAGGACATGTGAGGGGAGGGTGGTACCTAGCTTGGCCCATTCCCCTAACTCAGCTAGCCATGCCTCCTCCTCCTCCTCACCGCAGAACTGGGACTCATGGGGAAGCCAGAGCACACAGGACCCAGCTGTGGGAGGTGGGACAAAGCTGCAGCGAAGATTTGGAGTCCTGGCACTGCAGGCCAGGCCAGGGTGCCCAGCTATGCCTCATACCTGTCTGCTGGAGCCTGGCCCCGAACCCCTGCTGGGAAAGAGCTTCCAGTTTGCCAGTGTCTGCCCAGTGAAGAGCATGCCTGTTTCAGAGGCCATCCTGAGACCCCTGCCCCCTGTCCCCACCTCAGCTGCCGAGGATGAGGAGCCCTGTGGGCAGCGCAGGCTTGCTATGAGAGCCTAACACACAAGGCTGGGAACAGATAACCAGCAGGAGCAGCAGGGCTCACAGAGCAGGCTCACATTTTTCTCACTTGCTGCCAGACTCTGCCCCCTAAGCCACCAAGTGACTGTGTGTCACCTCCTGTGCCTTGCCCATGGCCTGAGGGAGTCACCTGGCTGACCAAGGTGGTTCTAGCCACTGGGTCTCATAACCCCTTTTGCAGAGCTGTGGGACCGTTTACACTGCAGGCAGTTAACAACAAAGGCTCTGGCTGCCATGCTGTCCTCGGGATCCTTTCTCATCCTCCAAGCTTGGTCAGCTGCCCGTGCAGTGAGGAGGTACTGCCAGCCCGGTTTTGCCAATCACCAGTGGACACTGACAGCCATCTGACTGGACTGTCGCCTTTCCTTCCCACTTCCTCCCTCAGCATGTCGCTTTAAACTAGCCGTGCTTGAGTGTGTTCATACACACCAAAGCCGGTCATGCCAAAGGAGTCACAGACTGCAGGCTGGGGGGCGGGGGGAGGCTCTCCTCTTGCCTTCTGATATAGCCTGGGACCCCTGATCCAGGCCAGAACCTCTCACTGAGGAACTGTCCTGTCCACGAGCACTTTCTTATGACCTAAAAGTCAGTGTGGCACCTGAAGGACCTGGAATTGGGGACGTGAATGATCACAGTAAGGGGAAGGGATGGGACATAGTGATTGTATACATGGAGTGGGGTCTCTCTATTTAATGAAATGCAGTGTATGGTTTGGTGCATATATTCCTACTTTCCATTAAATTAACTTTATTTCTAAAGCATATTTTGATTTACCATCAAGAGCAATAAAGCATTTAATCTTATTTTTAAAGACATACTGTTTATCATTGAAAAATGTTGAAATGTTAGTTTATATAGTCACCTGCCATCCCAGAAGGTAGCCAGAAGGTAGGAGCAAGCACAAATGTGTAAAATAGGGGTTATTTGCCCAAGGCTTTTGAACAGAAAAGTTGGGGAGTGAGAAGCAAGCTGTGTAAGAGGAGAGGCAAGAGGCAGCCTTGGAATTGAGCCTGGGCACGCTCTAGAATCCTAAGGGAACATGTTTCTGAAATAAACGCACATCCACACAAAAGACAGCATGGATTCCTGCGGCAGCTGCAGGGCCAGCATGGCCTCTTGCAAGGCAGCTGGGTCCTAGGAGCAGGGGCCACCGGTAAGGTGGAGGCCCAGAGCACCTTAGCACCCAAGAGCTCAGCACTGAGGGCCTTGCAGGCATTGGCAGACCATGGGGGCTGTAGGCACCTAGCAGTGGGTACAAGGACAGCAGAGAACAGGCCCTCATTGCCCTCTTCCTGAGGCTGACAGGCAGACTGCACACAAGCTGAGGTAGTGGCACACCTGAAGACCTAGAACTAGATTCCTCTGAAGCTAAACTGGTTGATCACCAGGACACCTGCCCATCTCTGCTGGCATTGAACAAGGCAGTGGGAGCAGTAGTCTTGGCACTGAGACTCAATATACAGTCTAAGGCTAGATGTCCAGGCAGGACTGAGGTGGCCAACACTGACCAGGCTGTGCTTAAACCTGTCTGGCCCTCTGTGGCTTGAGCTGGCTGTCATGTGACCCCACAAAGGAAGCCCCTGGAGAGAACCTGCCCAGCCACTAAGCCAAAGCTGGTTTTTGCTGGTGCTGCTTTCTTAATCACAGAAGCCTGTTCCAACCCCTTTCCCTAACTGTCCAGCATAAACCTCTCCATACACAAATCATGCGTTAAAGGTGCCCCTCAAATCTCCCAAATGGCGGGTCCACAAAGAGGTCGATGTAATGGATGGATGGTCAGTGCATTTTATTGAATCAGCACAGTACAAAAATAAATAAAAATAAGGGAAGGGGAATTAAATTACAGCCAAACTGAGCTTCATGACTCAGATTATAAACCACACATACTCAAACACACTACACATACGTACATACATACATACATACATACATACATACATAATGAGACAAATATAAATTAACAGTATCCACAGTTTGGTCAAAGAAGAGCTACAGAAGAAATTTCACTTAAAAAAAAATACATCACATGTGTGTGATTAGCAGTATCAGATGACAGCTATGGATAATTCTGGGGCAGGGGATGGCACATTTTCTTTTCATTGCAAGTTTAACACTGCTGAAACAAAACTAAATTCTAATAACTGCATGGAAAGAATATACCAACCCTTCAGGGTTGTAAGGAAAAGAGAAAAATCCAACCCTGAACTATGCTTCAGTGGCTTGTTCTCGGCACGGCGTGATCCCCACAGCCATCTGTTCTAAGGTTATTTTTCTTAAGACACAAAATGTTCCTGGTTTGCATGCACGGTACCACTGTAAAAGCAATGAAGAATAAAAGGGGTTTTTGTAGAATTTTTTCATTTTTCTTTTTTTTTTTTTTCTTTTCTATTTTGTGTGTATTTGTTCTAAAAGTGTCTTCATAGCAGCATGTCGGATGGGTTCATTGCTCGAACACTCAAGTCTATCAGTTGTACGTTTGCACAGTACTGATGGCCAATGCAAGGGGAGAGAACCACAGCTTCACAATGGAGCTAGGGAGTTCTTTTCTTAGTCACCAACCACTCCTGGAAGTATGCACCTCCTCAAAAAAATTAAAAAAAAAAAAAAAAAAGGACATGTTTTGTTGTTGTTGTTGTTGTTTAAAGTACAAAGAGAAGGAAACAGTCAGGAGAGCTGGAATCCTGCAATTGCAGCTCAGTGAACAGCTCCAGGCAGGCTTCAGTAGCTGGGCAGGCTGCAAACACACACCCTCCTCCTTAGACTGGATAACTGAAGCTCCTCTTCCACTATACTGGGGGCCAGCTGCCTGATCAAGCTCCCTGCACAGGTCACTGTGGCAGCAGAATCGGAGACAGGCCATGTGAAGCCAGGCCAGGGAGGCTGCGGCTAGGCCTGTGCTGAGCAAGCCTCACAGGACTCCCCAGCTCCACATCAGTTCATGAGGGCCCAGGGGCCGCTCTCTAGGGACCTGGCTGAGGGAAATGGGCAGAGGTTCTCTAGTCCCAGCAGATCAGGTCCTCTTCCCCCCTCTGTGAACACATCAGCTGAAAGGTTCTGCCTCAATTTCGCAGCTTTCTCTCTGTGTGGGTTTTCAGTAGTGCTGGTGCAGAAGGTGGCAGCCACCTGGAACCTAATCCTATGTAAGATAACCTCTGCCTTCCCTGCTGTGGCCCCCAATCCCAGCACTCTCTGGGGAGCAGAACAGAAAGAGGGAATCCTGGGGAGCATCTTCACATTGCTCTTTGTTCCCCAACACAGCAGTGAGGGCCATGCAGGAAGACTCACTCCCTTCTCTTGGACGGCTTCCAAACCCCAAGCCACCAGTCTGGGAGAATTAGAAAAACCAGTAAACTCCACAGAGAGTGGTCTCCGCCAGGGATAGGTGGGCACCACACCCAGCAGCTGGAAGTGCTCAGCTGGAGTCACCAAGCTTCCAAAGAAATCAGGAGTTACTTGCAATTGTCTCCAAGAAGCAGCTGCCTCACCAGGTTGCACATAGCAAAACTTCACCTCTGGGAAAAATCGAACTGCTTGGAAATAGCTTAAACTAACAAGGGGTAGGGCTGGGAGACGCCATTACCACAGCACCCCTATCAGCTGATCTCACCTTCTTTGTAGGACAAATGTCATGGGCTTTAGCACTTCCGTGGGCACCAGCTTGATCTCAAGCATGGAAACCCACCTGCCCAGAAGGTAGTGTTGCTCATGGGCACCTGCTACTGTCCTGGCTTATGCAGTGACTGAGCTGCATTGTTCAAATGAAAACTCACGCAGGGCAGGAAAGGAGCTGCCCCTAGCTTCACCTCATCCCCTTGGCTGGGACCCCAAATGAGAGAGGAATCTAATAAGCAAACCACCTCATTAACCAACACTAACGTGGGAGCTGGGAGCACAGACAAAAGGTCAGGGCGGGTAGCTCCATCCTGCCAGGGAAGGAAAGCCCTTCACCCAAAGCCAAGCAGCAAAACAGGGCTGTGCTCGGTCACCAGTCACGGACAATCTTTGCACCAGACCCACTTACAGGCTCCTGCATTGATGCCCCAGGGCAGTGGAGAGCTCGCCTCACTGAGAACATCCTAGAGCCTGAGTCAAGACAACTGGCTCCAGGAGCCTTTGGGAGAATAAAACAGTCACCAGAAAAGGGTCAATTCCTCCTGGGCCACTGCCCCTCTGCCTCTCTCTAGCTCCCATCATGGGACAGTGGGAAGCCTCATCTACTCTGGACCCAGCATGGGTACAGGTGACATGGACAAGCCAGTCCCTTGCATCCCCAAAAGTAAGTGGTCAGCAGCCTAAGTGGCTCTGAATGCATCTTCTGGGTTTGCACAAGGTTCATGAGTTCGAAAGTCCCCAGAGTTCTTGAAAGGGTTGGAAAAAAACCCCAAGGAGAGAACATGGGAAGAGGCCCTTGGTGGCTTTGCTAGACACATACTGTACACAAAACTTGATTCGTTTAGTAATAAATTTTTAAAAACAAATGGAATCCTTGAGCCGGGATACCGGCTACAGGGGCTCACCGATCGAGCCCCAGGAGGAGTCGCTTCTTGTCCTCCTGGCCACTCTCATTCTTCAAGTCGGAGAACACCTGTGTGAAGTAGTGTGGGTCAGCATTGATCTGCAGCATCTTGGAGCTCATGAGGTTGATAACTGAGAGGCAACGGTCCCAAAAGGCTTCCTTGCAGCTCTCCACTAAGAAGGGCTTGAGCGGGTAGGAGATTTCATTGCCCATGTAGGAATAGGAGAGGTACAGGCAGGTCAGCAGGACAGCCTGAAGCTCGTGGTCCGAGCCCACCTCGGAGGAGATAACATCCCTGCAGAGCATGTAGAGGAAGACCACGTTGGCGGGTGTGATGAAACCCTGGTCCTGCCAGCCCTGCAGGAGCAGCGAGCGGTCCACGCTGCGCAGCCAGAGCACAGGGTCCGTGGGGGACAAGTGTTTCAGGCGATAGCACCGGCGGCAGAGAAACTCGCCCAGGCAGCGTAGCAGCTCACTAGTGGACGCCTGGACGATGACCCGCTTGGGTGTCCCTGCAGAGGCGATGGCAGGGTGCGGGGCCTTCTTGACAGACGAGGAGACTCCAGTCTGGGAGCCGGAAAGCTGGCTGGCTGGAGGTGCGGGCGGCTGGGCCGGCGGGGGTTGGGCGAATGTGGACAGGTTGGCGCACGACAGCGACTTCTTCAGGTTCTCATTGTTGAGGTGTGCGATGTTGCTCTGGTAGCTGCTGTTGGGCTGCGCCTTCTTGGAGTTCTTCTTCTTGGCTGACACCGCCACGATCCTCTTCCAAGGCAGCACCGAGATGATGGAGTGCCGCTTCAGGCTCTTGTCCTTGGCGTTCTTGCTGTTCTGCACCGCCGTGTAGTGGCCCACCGTGGCCGCGCCATCCTCAAACAGCGTGGCCTTCCGATAACTGGGGGACAGGGACAGCACTGTGCCCATGGTGCCACTGCGCGCCCGGCGGGGGCCGGCGCCCCTGCGCGCCCAGCCTGCCGGCCTGAGGGAAAGGAAGGCTTACCAAGCCTGAAGCGGCCGCAGGGAGAAAGGAGGCGCTCCCGGGACGCGACGCGTGTAGCCCTGCGGATCTGCGTGGAAAACAAGATGGTTCTCAGCCCCGGGCGGGGCTCCGCGCCGCACCCCTCCGCCCGCACCTCCGAAGCCCTAACCCCCCGGGCTGCGGCCCCACCGAGCCCCAGTCCGCGCTTCCACTGCGGCACCGGGCGAGCGTGGCAGCAGGACCCCGACCCGGCCACGCGCACGGCCCCGGTCCGCGCAGGCTTACCCGCAGGCAGGCTCCCGCGGCAGCCGCAGCCGCTGCGTCCCAGGCCCTCTGCAATGCGCGCCGCGGCCCCGGGGCTCGGCTCGGCGCGGCGGCGGCTCGCAGCTTCTGTCCAAGGTTCTGCAGACGCCGCGGCCCCGCCCCCGCCCGGCCCCCGCCCGTCTGCGCCGCGCGCCCGTCCGCCCCGCCCCGCCCGGCCCCGGCGCGCGCCTCGCAGGCTGACTCTCCGGGTCGCGCGCGCCGTTCGCACGCCCGCTCGTCCTCGCCGCCAGGCCGCTGCCACTCGCGTCCTCGGCTCGAGAGGGGCACGGTGGCGCCTCTAGTGGGCGCGCACCATGCGGGCGGCGGGAACGCGCAGCTCCCGGTCCCCGCCTCGAAGCCGCCCACGCCGCATGGCGCAGCCGGGTTTCGAGAGCCTCGGCGCCGCGCAGCGAAGCTGGCCGGGCGGGCAAACTGGCGAGCGAGCGAGGGAGCGAGCGAAGGGCGGGGCGAAGGGCGGACCCCGCCCAGACACGTGCTGCCTTTGTTCCCGCCGCGGCCCCCGCAGCTGAGGCCGCCCGCCTTGTGAAGATGGCCCGGGCGAGCGGCCGACAGGGGGAGAGTTGTGTCCCGCATCTGTCCATGGTCCCCTAAGACTCAGAAACCCGGGACCAGAAGGGCGGGGACGGCCTACGGATCCTAACACTGGCTGTGTCAAAATCGAAGCTTTCAGGCCAGCTTCTGATTTGCCGGTTTTGAAATTTGAGAGTAAAATTGCAGAATATTCTGACCATCAACGCATATCTCCCAAGCACTCCTCCATACTTCACAAAGGCGGTGCTTTACTAGTCACTAATTTTGAACTAATTCTGGAGACTCAAATTGGCCAACAAGCCGCAAACCGTCCCTTAACTCAGACTCCCATCTCCGGACCTAGAGAATTCATAACACCTGCGACAGCTGAGCCAACTACCCTAAAACAGGCATCATGTTGAGGTGCAGTACTTCCAGGTTAGGAAAGTGCCAGTTTCTTTATGTACCCAGAGAGAGAAAAGGTTCAGGGACTTTGGTGACCAGAATAAAAAATACACTACACTTGGCCAAAAACCGTTTTCCAGAACCTCATCACCTAGGAAAGCTAGCTTAGCTGTGTGCCCTTTCTCACAACGTCCCTCAAAGAACGAAGTCGAAGGTAATTTCTTATTGCTATAACACAAGACCCGACACTGGATAATGTAGAAAGTAATGAAGTGTTAGCTCACAATTCTGAAGTGTGGTCCAGATCCGGTGGTAGAACGTGCCTTGGTGAGAGTTTCCAGGCCTCAGCTCACACCAGGAAGGAGAGAAAATAAGTACGTGCAGGGTTGAGGACAGGTGCCACACTGGCTTTCTAATCACACTAGCAGGAGCTTCCTTAACCCCTTCGTGCATCGAAGCGACTTTATGACTTAAAACATTTCCTTACAGCACAGCCCCCAGCAACCTGCAATCTTCCTGCTTTGGTGTCCGCTGCTGGAACTGAGGTATGAGCCCCACCAGCTCCACAAAATCAACTCTCAAGACCCAGCAAGCCAAGCCTCATGGCTCAGACTGTCAGCAACCCTAGCTGCCCTTTAAAGGGCTGCCCTACCAGGTAAGTGGCCACACATGCCTTTAATCCCAGCACTTGAGAGGCAGAGGTAGGATCTTTGTGAGGCAATCTGGTCTATATAATGAGTTCCAGGACAGCCTCTAAAACTACACAGAGAAGCCCTGTCTTGAAAAACCAACACCCCCCAACCAAAAACAAAACAAACACAAACAAACAAATAAATAAATAAATAAAGCTGTCCGAGCTCTTCCTTTTCATCACAGTGGTATCTAAATCACCCTGTCACCTTTCAGCCCCACCGGCCCAATGCCTCTTCCTAGAAGGGTATAGTTGTAAGTCAGCCTGTTGCTCCAGTCCCTGGAGAGACCCAACCTCTCAGCTGGCTTCAAGTTTATGTTCCTTTAGATTGTAGGATTGAGCAAAAGTTAAATGTGTTCTGTTTCCCTAATTATACACGTCTCTATGAAGGCTGTAATCCACCCATTAGAAACACCTGGGCCTGCTGCTGCCTGCAACTGAATTCCAGCTCTTTTATAATTCATCCTAGAGTTCATGGGTCTTTTCCAGAATGGCTTTATACACGTTCTCTTGTCTTCTGTCCAGCCAGCCCTTCCCCATTACCTTCAAAACCCTCTCCGTGAACTACTCCAGACTCCTCACGTTGCCAGAGACAAAGTCATGTTTGTAGCAAAACAGGAATAGGATTCTATCAACCTACATGCTGAAGGAAAAGGCTGTCAGGAACCCTACCCATTTAGTCATGCCTGACAAGCTTGCTTCAAAGTCAGGGTTCTGTAGACTAACAGAACTCCCAATAATGCCAGCTATTGGACAGAAAGCCCAAGAATCCAGAAGTTGATCAGTCCACAGGGCTAGCGGTCTCATCTGGTCTTCAGCGGACACAGGAATCTTGAAATAGTAGGCTCTAATGCCATTGAAGGAATGGACTTGCTAGCAAGGACAGCACAAGCAAGCGAAAGCTTCCTTCTTCCATGTCCTATGTAGCCTTCCAGCAGAAGGTGTGGCCCAGATTAAAGGTGTCTTCCTGCCTGAGACCCAGATTAAGGGCATGTGTCTTCTCACCTCAAGAACCAGATTAGAAATGGATCTTCTTCAAATTAAGCAAAAATAAATAAAATCGCTCACTGGTGTGTCCCCATTTTTGGATTTTCGTTAAGTCCAGATGTAATCGACTATGAACAGCCATCACATCAGGCACCATACAGTCCCCCTGCCCACTCAAGCCCACCTCTGCCCCCACCACACACACCAAGCTCCCTCACTGTTCTAACAGGGACGCAAAGAAGAAAGGGCAACAATCTGTCCAACATGGTAGAATTAAGAACCCAGAAGACAGAGCCGGCTGAATGTGCAGGTATGTTTTCTTCCTAGTATTTAGATAGCTCAGGGAAGATATCTAATTTTCACTACAGCCAGCCTACTTTCCCCAAAGCCTATCTGGCTGCCTTGCAAGGTGAAATACCCATGAAATACCTCAGCAGAGATCTGTTGTACACATGCCACTTCTCATACTGACCCAAGGACAGAAGTGGTACAGCCAAGAGTTCCAAGCAAGAGCTTTAGAACCCTGGTCTTTAGCTTGGCAGTGGTGGCACATGCCTTTCTTTAATCCCAACCCTTGCTAGGCAGAAGCAGGTGGATCTCTGTGAGTTTGAGGCCAGCCTGATCTATAGAGTAAGTTCCAGGACAGGCTCCAAAGCTACAGAAAAACCCTGACTCAAATAAAAACCACAAAGGAAACCTGGTTCTTGAGGAAGTCTTTGAGGGCATAGAGCAGCACCTAGTGGCTCCTGTGAGCAACACAGATTACATAACCTGCACACAGCAGGGCACCAGAGCAGCCCTCTTGGCTGTTACTCTCAAAGGCAGTCTCATTAATACACAACAGAGCTCCAATACCTTGAAGGCTAATGCCAAAAAGGGGCCCTCAGCTAGACAGCCCAGAACCAGGCCCACCCATGGCCAGATCTTAGAGGAGGGGAGGAAGCTACGCTAACTATGTGAGACCTGGGAGGGGAAATCGTGGCACAACCCATGATAATTTTATATTGCAGCACAGTCCAACAGAGGTTACCTGAGAGCTACATTGACCATATGGGTGAATTTTAATACTTTATTTAACCCAATATGCCCCAAATATTCCAATGCACATATAAAAAACAGTAAACTACTAAACACTTCTTTGACACCAAGCCTTTAAAGGATGGTTTGTGGTTACAGTCTGAACTCGCTTCAGGGCCTATCTATCAGACAGTGTGAGTCTGAAGTCATCACACTGAGGGCTACTGTCCTGAGCTGCTTGGGGTTTGCTTAGGTTGGGAAACCCTCCCCACCCTGCTCCAGCTCCACATCCCCATGGAGATTTTTAACATCCTTTATAGAAAGGAAACTTTCTAAAGGTAAAATTATACAGAGAAAGACATCTACAACCGAAGACTGCTAGGCTGGAAAGGGGTTTGGCAGTCCCCCAGAGGCCCGAGTCCCGCAGAAGACCACTTTTGGGATCTGAGAGCAGTATGAAGACAGCTGCTATTGAAGATCCGTAAAGCACTGTGGTAAAGCAAGGCTGGCCATCAGGACGCTGGCTCCTGCACTTCTATAGCATCCATCCTATCACTCCCATAGACAAGGAGATAAGTAGACAGGCTCGGAAGACTACTGCCCAAGTCCACCTGTCCTCACTGGCTGGCCCTCCTGCCGGACACACACCTGAGCTCCGTTTCTGACTTCACTCCTTACAGGTCAACTTTCCTGCCAAAAGTCCCCAAATATGGATTCCCAGCATGGCTACAAGACTCCCATTAAGCAATGAAATAACAGAGTTCTGGCCAAGCCAGAAGAGCTACATGGATTGTTTGAACTTGCTTACACACCCTCCAGCACTCAAAAATAAGACACCTTTTGAAAAAAAAAATTATTTTATTGGAACTCATCTGAACATCAGATATACCTGGTGTTGGTTAGCAAGAACCGTTTGTACATTTGATATTGATGATGCCAAAACCAAAACAGTGACTGGACATGATGGGGAGAGAAGGTGGTTGAGAACAAAAACCTGATTTCGAAGAGGAAAATAAAAGCCAGTCAGATTCAGTGAAGATGCAAAACCTGGTACAACAAAATCCTTTTACAAAATAGAAATCTATTACCAAAACCTGGAAGGGTAATCTGAGAAAGGTTCTAAAGAAAGAGAAGAGGCTAGGAGGAAGGAGGCAGGAGGGGAGAAAGAGAAAAGACCGTGTGGATGAGAGGACACAGCACATGGGGACAGCAAAAGTACAGGCATTCACCTGCCCGAACGGCATCCCAGCCTGCTAGGGAACTGCGTCAGAGACAAAGCATGCTAAAACAGCGCCACCCCGTTGGCTCACACTCTTAAGAGGGAAAGAAAGACAGTCTAGGAAGGGGACATGAGGGTGCTTCAAATCCAACGAGGAAAAAAAAATTTTATTAAAAACAAAACAAAAAATACCCAAAACCCCCCACCCCAGCCTCATTCCCAATGTTCACTGTTTTGAAAAGGGATAGAGCCATCTGACAGCAGGAAAGAGGGGTGGAGAGGGAAAGCAGCAGATGGAGTTCAGACAGCCCAACTCCTCTAGAGGGGAAAGAGAAAGGATATGGTCTCCTGGCTGAGAGGAAAGAGAAGAAAGCAAAGAGGGGAGGAGGGGATGGTTAAAACACTGACATCTAATCTAGTTACTGTGTTAGAGAAAAGCCACATGCACAGCAGGCAGCCTGAGGGCTGAGGCCCACACTGCGCCCGTGTGGCCGGCCGTAGTGGACACTGGCTCCTGGACTTGTTCCCATTCTTTCACAGGTCAGAGCAGAGCCGTACTGCAGGGGTAATGGTGGCACATCAGCCTGCCCTTCAGTCTGCTGGAGCCAATGTCAGAGAGGAAGGGGACAGGCCAGATGGCAGGGATAGAACACCAACGCCTCATTTCAAATAAAAAAGAAAACAGCAGTCTATACACAGTTGTTTGTTTTGGTTCAGTACAAACAGAATAAAAAGTCGTTGCTTTTGATGGTCAGCAAACACCCAATTCTGAAGAGGAGGAGAGGTGGCGCCCAGCAGGTGGATGAGGGTCCCCGGTGGTTGGTGGGGTGCCTGGCTTTGCGGCCCTCTCCCAGGAGGCAGAGAGCACAGCTTTAGGTAGTGTAAGCCTTTTTCCTTTTATTTAGAATCTTTTTTTTTTTTTTTCTTTTTTCTTTTTTCTTTTTTTTAAGCAATTTCCCCACTCCCAAGTTGGCCAGTGCTGATTACATGAGAACTGGCCGCCTATCGCTGGATACAGATGCACCAATGAGGGTTAAAAACTTTCCGAGCGAAAAGTAGAACAGAAAGAAAGAATCTCCTAGCATTTCCCCAAGGGTTCACTCTCCCGCCACACACACTCTCCAAAGGGCCGCTACAGAGCCAATTCTGCAAGAGAAGACAGAGCAGTGTCAATCGGGGAAGCCGTGAGGACCAGAAGGTGGTGTTCAGTGTCGACAGGCAGAAGACAGCGCTGCCCAGCCCTGGGTCCTGGGGCCAGCACTCACCTATGTTAGCTTCTTGGCTTTGTTGTAGAGGGAGTCCACTACTTTACTCATGTTCTGAATTGTTTCCAGGGCAGCTTCATAAGTTTTATCTACTGGGGGTTCATCGAAAATGATCAGGACGCCCTCCCCCTGGTCCAAAATCCCTGCAAGAGACACAGGAACAAACCAGGTAAAAGGAGGTATTAGACAATAAAAAAGTACCCACTCCCTAGCCACCTCATTTTCTCCCAACACATTTTTGCCATATACTCTCATCTCTTTTATTAAAAAACTTTTATTTTACGCGTATATGTGTGAGCCTGTGTGAGAATACATAGCACATGTGCATGCAGGAACTCAGAGGCCAGAAGAGGACGTCAAATTCCCCCAAAACTAGAGTTACAGACAGTTGTAAGCTAGTTGCTATCTGGGCGCTAGGAACTAAACCTGGGTCCTCTGCAAGAGCAATGAATGTCTTAACTGATGATTCCTCTCTCTGCGCCCTTATACATTCTTCAAAGGGAGCCAGGGCTCCAAGGAACTGCCACAAGAGAAACTCAGCCCCTGCTTAAAGATACACCCTTCAAATTCTAACCAGGCTCTGGCCTATGTGATGTGTACTCACCGTGAAACTTCTTGTCAAGAATCATCTGTGATAATTTTCTTTCCACGTCGGCCTAAAATCAAAGTACATGATTTAAGGGACCAATATCCATTAATCAGAAACCAGCCTGACATCAATGTTTTGAAAGAAAGAGTCTTTTAAAAAATGGACCGGAGTGAAATGGCAACAATATAACTGCAGCTCTGAGCCCACATTCAGCTCCCCACAAGGAAGACAGCCTCTCTAGGACTTCACCCCATTCCCACCAAATAACAATCCTGAGAACTTACCTTGGAGAGTTTGATGAGGCTAGATATGTGTTCAATCTAAAAGGAAAAGCAGATAGCAACACTGAACATTTGAATTTACCTCCAATAAAAAAAAGAGGGACAGATAACTGCTGTGTCTCTTGAGCCTACTGAATCAAGAGGGCCAGAGACTCTCCCTGGCCACTCTTAAGTGGCCTGCCCTTCACTATACAGAGTGCACTCCCATCGGTGTACCAAATACAGAAGACATTTACCACATGAACAATGACTGTAAGAAAGAGATAATGAACACAGGGAGGGGCCAGCTCACACCCTTCTACCCCACCAGCATCCTCCTTGATTCATTTCCCATCCAGACAAGTTCAAGCCCTTGGTGGCCTCTTACCAATAAACATACCCTTGAAAGAGAGTTCCTATTTTGTACAAATATAGAAAAGATGACTACAGCTGTAACATCTAGCCCAAACCGTTAAGAAAGTTCCCAGGCCAGGCATTGGTGGTGTGTGCCTTTAGTCCCAACACTTGGGAGGCAGGGGCAGGCAGATCTCTGTAGGTTCTAGTCTATAGAGCTAGTTCTAGGACAGGCTCCAAAGCCACACTGAGAAACCCTGTCTCAAAAAAAAAGGGGAAGGAAGGGAAGAAGGGAGGGAAGGAAGGAGGAAGGAAGGGAGGAAGGAAGGAAGGAAGGAAGAAAGGAAGGAGAGAAAAGAAAAGAAAGTTCCCAGGAAGAGTCTTACCTGTACCCGGGAAAAAGGTTCAATGACCCGGATGAGATTCTGTTCCAGTAAGTTATCATATAACTTGGCCAAGTGTGTGCTGATGATTGGGTCATCCCGGAGCTCTGCCCGGTAGTCTGTCAGGGCCTGCAAAACAAAGCTCATACCAGAGACTGGCATAGCACCTTAAAGTTACTATTCCTAATCTCCTGAGAAGTCTGCTAGCCCCCATGTCTACATATAATATATATTACACACTTACACACACGCACACACACAGAGTGTATGCATTTGTGTGTACCTATAGGCCATCTGGAAGAGTATGAAGGACTGAAACATAAAGCTACCACCTTCTGGTCCTAAAGTTTAATTGTGTAAGCTAAGATACCCTAAAGACCAAATAAACTACACACATAGTTTTCAGCATATATTTCAAAGAATTCTAAGATTAAATAATGAAAGAATGCTGAATTACACAACTAGCTCCTAGGAGCTTTGTGTGAATAGTACAATGTTGCTCTGTAGGCAAAGAAAGCAAAATGCCTTTCTAATTCTCTTCTGCCTTAATGTTTCTGGAGTATCTGATCACAGAAGAACTATATGAGTAAAAGTGTTCCATCAGACATTTTATGGCTGCCTTAATATAATGATCCATTTATCTTTAATAATAGTTTCCATGCCCCAGCCTCATGTTGGCTTGCTCTAAAGTACTAAAAGAAGTAGACAAATCATACTAACTAGAAATAGGTAGGTGATTACAAAATGACGACTATCATGGAAGGTCAAAGCCACATGGCCCTTGTTTCCAAGCACACTGGTTTCTTTGTTTGCTTGTATATTTGTTTGTTAGTTTTAGGGACAGGGTTTCCCTGTGTAGCCCTAGCTGTCCTGGAACTAGCTCTGTATGTAGATTAGGCTAGTCACAAACTCAGAGAAATCTGCCTGTTTCTGCACTCTGAACACTGGGAATAAAGACATGTGCTACCTCCACCGCCCAGCCTAGGTCTGGTTTTTAGGTTGATTACTAAACTCAGACTAAGAGCACACCAGTTTAAAAAAGAATATACAAAATATCCTAGTGCTTAAAAAGCTGTTTCTCTCATTTTGAATCTTCCCAATGAGCAAAAAGAAAGCCTACAGCATCATTCTAAAGAAGATTCTTAGGGCTAGGTAAAGTGGCTCATACTTGTAACCCCATCACTTGGTACAATGAGGTTAGCATGGGCTATTAGCAAGACCCTGTCTCAAAAATTAAAGTGAGTACCAGACATACTCTCAAAAATGTAACTTTAATCCCAGCACTAAAAAAGCAGAGGCAAGTGGATCTATCTCTATGAGTTCCCGGCCAGCTTGCTCTACAAAATGAGTTCCAGAACAACCAGAGCCATTACACAGAGAAACCCTGTCTAACAAAAAAAAAAAAAAAAAAATACATAGATTAGATAGATGAATGAATAAACAAATAAAGCAAGTGAACAAACAAAATTTTTTCTTTCGCTCACAGAGTACAAAGCAGGCCTGGGATACCCACAGCTGTTCTGTGAGGAAAAAACGAGGCCTAGAGTTTAGAGTTAAGTCACAGTACATGAATATTATGTGATTTGGACATCCCCCAAATACCACTTTACCAAAATAGAGGTAAACAATTTTATTGTGCTGTGTTGTGTGTGTGTGCATGCGTGCGTGCGTGCCCAGAGAGTTAGGATCTCCCTGGAGTTGGAGTGATAGGAGGTATGTGCTGCCCAATGTGAGCACTGGGAATGGAGCCCAGGTTCTCTGTAAAAACAGTATGTACTATTAATTTGTGAACAATTTTGAAACTAAAAAGCATATACAAATGAATTTAATACAGCTCAATACCCCACTCCACTCACTGTAAAAAAATTATTTCCTAGTTTTGATGATTCTGGGTGAAGAGCACTTAGAATCAGTATGTATAATATATTTGCAACTTTGAAACTTTTTTGGGGGTTTTGTTTGTTTTTATTTTCTGAGACAAGGTTTCTCTATGTAACAAACCTGTTCTGGAACTTCCTCTGCAAACCAGGCTGGCCTGGAAGTCTCAGAGATCACCTGCCTCTGCCTCCCCCAGTGCTGGGCTAATACCACTGCCCAGCTGAAACTGTTCTTCAATGGCCCTCTTTACCCATTCCCCATCAATGCAATAGCATACTCACCTTTTCAAAATCTGCAAGTGATCTGTTTTTGCTAGCTTGAGCCACACATTTCAATGCTTCTGTCTGAGAATTTAAAAAAAGAAAAAAAAAGAAAAAAAATCATGGAACTGATCTGCCCTGAAAGTTCATAAGATACACACCTTCTGTTATAAAAACAATGACCTATCCCTACCATCACTTTTTTAAGGGGCCCTGGAAGAAAAGCCAGAAGTATTAAATATCACGGTATACCAACCAGTTTCCCTTTGAAATGTGAAGTGACTTAAATAGAAGTTTCCCAAAAGGATAGACCCGGATAAGGATTCTCTAGAGAAACTAAGCTGAAAGAGAAAATAACACAAGAACTGTGATTTCTTTCTCCTTACTCCAAGATTTCTTATCTCCACATCTACCTAACTTTTTCTGCCCTCAAACCAATAATCCCTGGGCTTTATCAAGGTTCACTCTGCTAGCTTTGACAATTGACTGAGTGAGGTCCACCCTGGGGTTCAGGCATTAGTAGTCCACATATTACACCTGAACATTAAAACACTACACCGTGCCAAACTGAATGTACAATGACCAAGAGAAACTTCTAGCTTGGTTATAAAAAGGTACCTGCCAAACTCAAGTCTCCACTCATACCCATCTCTAGATAAGCCTGTCTTCTTGTGAAAGCTGTCACTGAAGCACAAAGCCCCAGAGGACACTCCTGTGTGTCAGCCTACTTAAGTAAGGATATAAGTCTATGTGGAAGACTAAATGGTGCAGGCTGTCAGGAGCACAGTTTGCCTCCAGTATCTGCCCTACCGACAGAATAAATATCTTAACGAGGACACTGGAACTCAGAGCCAGATAATCAAAGCTCAAAATCTAAGTCTACCATTCTCAGCTATCCTTGCAGATCCTGTCTCAACTCTACAAGTCCTGTTTGTTTGTTTGTTTTTTTTTTCCTGGGGGGGGGAGAAGAGATGGGTGGGGGTCTTAGTTTTGTTTTTTTCTGAGCCAGGTTCTTACTATGTAGTCCTGGCTGGCCTAGAACTAACAGATCTGCCTGCTCTGCCTCCCTAATGCTGGGATTAAAGGTGAGTGCTTCAATTCTAGTTCTTAAGAGAAGTCTCTACAATAAAAGCCAATATTCCCAAAGTCAGAACTACAACTGACTTGGAAACTTTTACCAAAGGAAAAACCAATTAGGACCACTTACAGAGAAAGAGGAAATCAGTTTTTGTTAACAGTATTCCATGGATTTAGAGAGATAGCTAATCTGTTCATTGTTTAGAGACAATTATATTTGAAATTCAGAATGACTGCTTTTATTTAACTATGACAGCCGAAGGACAAAAAGCAGATAGGATAAACATCTGAAACATCATCCTTAAAACTGTGTGCTCTAAAAAGTCATTCACATCTACTCAAATATAAAAAGGATGATCAACCAAAGATGTCTTTTTAAACTATACTCACATTCACAGTATGAACACTTATAATCTAGTTCTTACACAAAGTAATCTGGCCTCCCTGCAAGCACGCACATACATTTCACCAGCCTTCTGAGAATCAAGATATGAGACACACCCCTTATATTTGCAAGCCAGACACACAACAGGAAGATCTGATCAAAGATAAATTGTAACCTAATAGCAAAAGCCCCTCAAATTACCTATGTCTATAATAAAGACCAACACTTAATTTCTAGGCCAAGAATTTAACAATAAAGAAAACCCAGTGAATGAGCTTAAGGGAAGAAAACAAGGAGTGCGGAATGTAGGAGGAAGACCTGAGGAGCACCGGTCCCATCAAACATCATGAATCTGACCATAAGCAGAAATGCAGTCTATTCCTTACCTGTCTCCCTGCATATCGAAGTGCAAGCTTTCCACTCACCAAAGCCTGGACATCTTCTGGGCTACAAAAATAAACAAACAAACAAACAAGTAAAAAGACATGCTTGGTCAACTGCTCCGGGACATTGTGATTCTAATCATAGTTAGATAAACTATTTACCAGAATTCTATTGTGAAGACTCACCCACATTGGAAAATCAACTAAATCCATGTCTCAACACTGCAGAAGTCAGGTTTTCTTTACTCTTGGCCAAAGCTAGCAGTGAAAATTAAAAACCTCTCAAAATTAAAGAGTGTGGCTGAGCGTGGTAGTGCACACCATATGGAGACTGAGGTAGGCAGATATCTGTGAATTCAAGGCCAGTCTGATCTACACAGTGAGATCTAACACTGGGCCTGGGATGCAGCTCAGTTGACAGAGTGTTTGCCTGGGTTTATTTCCCAGCACTGGTAGCTCATGCCTCCAATTCCAACACTTTGGACAGTAGAAATGGGCCATCAACATCATCCTAATCTACATAAAAAGCTGAGACCAGGGCTGGAGAAATGGTTCAGTTGTTAAGAGCACTTGTTGCTCTTGCAAAGACCTGGGTTCATGTCCAACACTACATGGATGCTCACAGCAATCTTTAACTCTAATTCCAGGAGATCTGATGCCTTCTTCTGGCCTTCTGGACACCAGGCATGCAAGTAGTGCATAGACATACATTCAAAAAACACATATCCAAAGAAACCCATGTACACATATAATAAAAACAAATTTCAAAGCCTGGCATGGTGGCGCACACCTTTAGTCCCAGCACTCGGGAGGAAGAGGCAGGTGGATCTTTGTGAGTTCAAGACCAGCCTGGTTTATAAGAGCTAGTTCCAGGACAGCCTTTAAAGCCACAGAGAAACCCTGTCTTTGAAAAAATAAATAAATAAATAAATAATATATTTTCAAAAAAAGTTAAGGCTAGTGGAAGTTGGTGGCACACACCTGTCTCTGCACTTGGGAAGCAGAGACAGGCAGATCTCTATGTGTTCAAAAAAGATAATGCCAGCTTGGACCACATGAGATCCTGTATCCCCTGATATATCCCCTCCAATAACAATAATAATAAATGAAAAATATACAATTAAGAAAATTTTAATATCACAAACCTAAGGGACATAGTGTTTACCTAACATGCATGAGGCTCTAGGTTTAGCCCTTACTACCACTTAATTATCATGCCCCCCCTTTGTTGGGGGGGGATTAGAGATAGGGTTTCTCTGTAACTTTGGAGGCTGTCCTGGACCTTGTTCTACAGACCAGGCCAGCCTTGAACTCAGAGATCCACCAGCCTCTGCCTCGGGAGTGCTGGGATTAAAGGCATGCCTTTTAAAGCCCACTTTTTCACATATTTCCTGAGCTCAATGTCCTCCATTCTGGGTGGCCAGTTGACTAACACTGACCTATCAACTATTTCCTGAGCTCTGTCCTGTGGCTCAGTACCTGGGAGAACAGAATATTTAAAAAGTGAGAAATTCTCCCAGAAAATTTAAGTATCTATCTGCTATAGCATAAACTTAGCTAAAAGACTAAAATTCTTACATCCCAGAGGTTAATGTACTTACGTGTTGAGCATGATTTTGCACAACAACATGTATTTCAAAGATGTGATGGCCTTGGGACTATCAATAGAGTCGTAGCCTTCAAATGCCTCATAAAAGTATGAGTAAGCAGTTTTCCAGTCCTTCTCCTCTGCTGCATGAATAATACCTGAAAAGAAAGAAGGGGGAAAAACAAACATATAAAAGAGCAGAATCATAAGGAAGCTGTAAAAAGATTTAGAAACCGACCCTAACAGCATCAAGTTACTAATGAACTCAAGTGAAAACAAAGGAACTGTCCCCAAGTCACAGCCAATTCACAGGAGCTGACTGACATTAGAGCCCCAGGTCTCTGGCCTCTGATCGGTAGCACCTTTTTAAATCCCAAAGGAATAAGAGACCCAATGCAAAAGGAACCCTAAAAAGCACACACTGTATTCTTTCCCATGCTTCTTACCACCAATTCCTACCACCATTGGAACAAATGTTTAGCCTCCATGGTATCACTTGTGCAGACAAATGAACTGACCCACACAGGCCCAGACCACATGAATGACCTCAATTAGTAATATCAACTCTGGGCTGGAATATAATACAAAGCCCTGTATTGAAGCCCCAGCATCGAATAAACTGGACATAGTGTCAAACATCTGTAATCCTAGGACTTGGAAGTGGAAACAGGAAGATCACAAGTTCAAGGTCATCCTCAGCTACAAACCAATTTTATAGCCATCCTGTTTTTTTTTTTTTTTTTTTTTTTTTTCTTTAATGAGATTATATCTCAAAAGCAAAGCAACAAAATAAAAAATCAGAATCATGCCAGGCACTAGTGGCACATGTCTTTAATGCCAGCACTCAAGAGGTGGAGGCAGGTGGATCTTGGAGTCTGAGGCCAGCCTGGTGTGCTGAGCAAGTTCCAAGACAGCCAGGAGTACATAGAGAAACAGTCTCAATGAAACAGAATAAGAATCATTAATGTAGTTTTTCCTATGCACAGTTCTGATATATTTTTTTTTTTTTTTTGCTTAATTTTTTGAGACAGGGTATGGCTGTCCATAAACAGATGCATATGGCTAACCAGTATTACTTTAGGCTAATATCAAAAGTTCACCTCACTAATCCCAATTTGGTTGCTCCTGGTGAGCTTAAAGTTGGCTAAAATGACTACAATCACCCTATGCTCTGACCTGGAATGACATGGAAATTAAATTAGTGCCTCACAGACTAAGAAGCACTTCTCTCTGACATTAGCCTAACTCCTCTTTATGACAAGAAAGACCTCAGCCCCCCACCTACCACAGTGCTTACCTACACTGTTCATTATCAAGATATATTAAGTACTTAGCAGATGAGAGTAAAAGATGAAGTTGCTAAATGAAATGCTACCATTAAGTGATTAAAAGATAAATTAAGTGAAACCCCTAAGGTATGTTGCCTAGACAAACACCAATAACTATGTTCTTAATTATTTTAGGCAGTTCATAGGAAGAAGTTGTTTAAAAAGGTATCCTTCTAATTTGTTTCTTAAATCAGCCAATTGTTTTCCAGCTTCAGCCACACCCCCCCATACCTTTCACCCATAAGAAAAGGTGAGCACTAAAGCAGTGTATCCTATGCAGTGCTGTGCCTCTTACCTGACTGCATGTCCAAGGTGGCCTGCAATTTAGGAGGGCAGTAGATGGCATTGGCTGTGGTTCGAGCAGAGGTTAAGGCAGCTCGGGCTTTCGGCAGATTACTCAAAGCATGGTAGGTTTTGCTTTCTAAAAGCTGTACTTCCACCAAAAGGGCTTTATCATCCATCTTTTTCAACTCCCGCAGCAGCTGAGAACCTGGAAAAGGAGAAAATATGTATATTGTTAGCCTTATTACCATCATCACTCTTTTTGGAGGTGATGGACATTGAGACAGGATTTCTCTGTGTAGCCTGGCTGGCCTGGAACTCGATCTGTAGTCTACATTGGCCTCAAGCTCAGAGATCTGCCTACCTCTCACTCCCAACTATTGGAATTAAAGGCGTGTGCCACCATCACTTGGCATTCTCCTTGTTTTTAGATAGGGACTCACTATACAGCTGTAGATAGCCTGGAATTCACTATGAAGACCAGATGGCTTAAAGGTGTGAGCTGCCACACCAGCCTCTTTTTCTCCTGAGGAAAGATTTGTTTGGGGCTGGAGCAATGGTTCAGAGGCTAAAAACATGGTTGCTCTGGCAAACAACCTGGTTCAATTACCAGGACCTACATGGTGTTGACAACCATCTGTAGCTCCAGTTCCAGGGTATTCACAGCCGTCCTTTAGACTCTCTGAGCACCAGGCACACACCATACATATACATACAGGCAGACAAACACTCATATATATATATATATACATACATATATATATATATAATTTTCTTATATATAAAAAGAAAGGTTTGTTTTAAATTTGTTATTGTGTGTCTCTGTGAATGTATATACACCTTTATGTGCAGGTAGGTCTCTGTGAACAGAGACCAAAAGAGGACATCAGGTGCCCTCCTCTATCATTCTCTGCATATTTCTTTAAGGCAAGATCTCTTTCTGAACCCGAGGCTCCCATTTTCTCACCTAGACTAGAAGGCCCCCATGGTCCTACTGCAACCACATGCCTTGGAGCTGGCATTTTTGTCTAGATTCCCTTGTTAGCTTTAATCTTAACATCATAATATCATAAAATCCCACTCTCTACTCATAACGGCAATAATAAAGAAAAACTCAGAAACCTGTACAAGTTACCTTTACAGCCCATTAAAGATTTAAATTTTCCTCTAATGTGCTTTCAAAAGAAAACTACATTTTCTCTGAAGCTTTTATTCGGAGTCCTATACACTCACACATAAGATTTATAGTAAGAACTCCCCCAACCAGCAATCAGAGGACTATAACAGTGTAAGAAACACTAGAAGCAGACATGTGGAAGGCATAGCTGTAATCTTAGAACTTGGAAAGCTGTGACAAAATGACAAGTTTAAGGCCTGAATGGGCTACATGGTGAGAAACTGCCTCAACCAGCTAAAACAAAGAAATCAGGGTACAAGGGCTCATGAGGAAGGAAGAAGTTTTATATATGCCAATATTCTCCACATATACTTTATTTCTCCACCTCAGAAGAGACTAGCAGATCATTTATACCATGTATAAAAATTAACTTCATATGGATAAAAGGCCTAAATGTAAGAACTAAAACTAGAACGCTGGTGATAGTGCACACCTTAGTCCCAGCATTCATGAAGCAGAGGCAGGTGGAGGATCTCTGTGAATTCAAGGCCAGCTTGATCTACAAAGTGAGTTCCAGGACAGCTAAACTGTTACACAGAGAGAGAAACCCTGTCTCAAAAACCAACAAAACAACCACAAAAACCTAAAACGATGATGCATGCCTGTAACTGTAACACTTGGGAGGCTAAAACAGGAGTATGAGCATGAGGCAGACTGGGCTATATAATTAGTTCCAGACCAACCCTGGCTACATAAAGAGATCATTCTCAAAAAAACAAAACAAAAATGAACTGGAAAACAGTGCCAGGTGTGCACATCTTTAATCCCAGCACTTGGAAAGCAGAAGCAGTAAGATCTCTTGGTTTCAGGCCACCCAAGACTACATAGTGTGACCTTGTCTCAAAAAGAAAGGCAACTAAAGAGTTTATATTAATTTTATATCAATGAGATAAACAAAAGAAAATAAAATGAAAAATAGGACGTCATTATAATTTAAGTATACTTTATTTACTGTGTGCACATGTGCAGGCTCAAGTCCAGTCACATCATAGCAAACATGTGGGAGTCAGAAGATAACTAACTCCTGGTTCTCACTTCTCACCTGCCAACTCATGATCCTCAGACCTGCATGCAAGCACCTCTACCAGCCGAGCCATTTACTGACACAAAGCTTACTTTAAAATAAGGACACCATAAATAAAAGGAGAAAACTCAACAGGTATGCAGACTCACTCCTAAAATCACGGGACTTGGTAAGTAGAAACAGGAAATTCCCAAAGCAAGTTACCTAGCTAGACTAACTAAATCTAAAAGCTCTGGGTTCAAGTGAGAGACCCTCCCTCAGTATATAAGGTGCAAAGCAATCAAGGAAGATACCAACATCAAACTCTGCACCCCTGCACCACTAAAGTGCATGCGTTCACACACACAAATGAATATACACACACGTGAACACACATCACATACATATATGCACACCACATACACTTTATAACCAGTCTATACTACAAAATGAGAACATCTGAAAAACTGAAGAAACAATTCACAAGAACGGGGGAAAATATTTGCACAGTATCAATCCTAATTGAGGAGACTAAATATTCACAAATTACCAATGGATGGGAATAAAAAAATAAAAACAAGGCCAGCAAGATGATTCAACTGGTAGCTAAGCATGCTGGTAAGTACCCAGCACTTGGAAGGCAGAAACAAGGGGAATCCCTGAGTTTGAGACCAGCCTGGTCTACAGAGCAAGTTCCAGAACAGCCAAAGCTACAGAGAAACCCTGTCCCAAAAAAACAAGCAAACGGAGCTGGAGAGATGGCTCAGCATTTAAGAGCACCGACTGCTCTTCTTAGAGGATCTGGGTTAATTCCTAGCACCCACAAGTTAGCTAACAACTGTCTGTAACTACAACACCTGACACCCTCACACTTACATACATGCAGGCAAAACACCAAGGAACATAAAATTTAAAAAAAAAAAAAAAAAAAGATGGTTCAATGGTAAAGACACTTGCCCATCTGAGTTCAATCCCCAGACACCAAATAGCAGAAAAGAACTGATTGTCATGGACTTCTGACCACAGATGCCAAACACATATTAACACAGATAGATAAATAAACCAATAAATAAATGTGAAAAATTATGATAAAAAAAATAAGGAGTTGGGCAGTGGTGGCACCTACCTTTAATCCCAGCACTTGGGAGGCAAAGGCAGGTGGATCTCTGTGAATTCAAGGCCAGCCCGGTCTACAGAGCCAGTTCCAGGGCAGCCAAGGCTATTATTACACAGAGAAACCTGTCTCGAAAAACCAAAAACAAAACAAAACAAAAAAGAGCATGCATTGCTCTCCCAGAGGACCCAAGTTAAGTTCCCAACACCATATCAGGCAGCTTACAACTACCTCTAACTCCAGCTACAAGGATCCAACTCTTCTGATCTCCGCAGGTATGTGCAGATATAGAAATGTTTACATAAACATATACACTTAAATATAAATAAATATTAAAAAATAAAATACAAGTAGAGCATGGTGGCACAGGTCTGTAATCCAGCACTTGGGAGACAGAGTCAGCCTAGTCTATAGAGTAAGTTCCAAGACAGCCAGGGATACAGAGACACTCTGTCTTGAAAAGCCAATAATAATAATAATAATTATAAAATATATAAATATAAAAATAAATATAATTATAATTATTACAGTAATTATTATAGTAATTACAAAAAATTAAATTTAACAAGATATTATATATAAAATAATAAACTAAAAAAGGTATTTCAGCTACTCTGTCAATGAAATGGCTTTTACTGCTCTAAATTTAAACTTAAAACTGATATCTGTTCTATAAAATTATGACTAACTCCAGCTGGCTTCCCTAGACTTTATCCCCAGTTTTTCAAAACTTTAAAACAGAACTTTACTGTGACACATTTTATGAATGTAAACTACCTGAAATGCCTTTTAGACCCAAGTAAAAAAATGATTATTAACAATCAGTAAGAATAACCAAGTTTGGAATGCACTTATTTAGCTAGATTACATATTTAAGTAGTTTATATTAGATGTCTTACTAATTTCTACCAATTTACTTACCCAAATGTAATGCTTCCTGGTACCTCTTAGTATCAAAATACAAAGACACCAGCCTTGCCTAGAAAAAAGAAAAGGCATTGATTAAAGGGAATGAGAGGAAAAGTCCAGAAAGAAATCAAAGAATGATAGTAACAGAATTGTTACTGTTGACTATACATGTTATGATGATAACATAAAGCTGAACATAACACATGAACTACAACCCAGTACTTACTATTTCTTACTATGGTCAAATGACTGTTAACTATACCATATATACTTAAACAGCAAAAGTGCCTCAAAATATCAATAAAAATAATTTAAAAAAAAAATTTAGCCAGGTGTGGTGGTACATGCTGTGATCCCAGCACTCAGGAAGCAGAGGCAGGTGGATCTTTTGAGTTCAAGGCCAGTCTGATCTACAAAGCAAGTTCCAGGATAGCCAGGGCAACACAGAGAAACCGCGTCTCGAAGGAAAGAAAAATGATGTAGATCCAGAGATGGTGACTAACATCTATATAATCCCAGAATTTAAGAAACTCAGACAAGAAAATTTCCAAAGGTTTGAAGCCATCCTTATGCTACAGAATAAGATAATGCCGCTTTAAAAATAAACAAACAAATAAATAAATACTTCTACCAGGGACATCAAGAATCTTTAGGTGACAGAGCTGCTCAAGATGCTTGGGGGGGGGGGTTCCTTATACTTGCAGGTTATCTATCTAAGGTTACAGATCCAAAGTCAATAGGACACCTACCTCCAATGCTTGGCGTAAGAAAGTTCTTTTCTCTGACTTGGCCCATTCGATGCACTCTAAACATAACTCGACCTGCAAGAACACACACAATACATGAAACATGATGTCCCCATCTCCTTCCAACTAACCACACAATGGAAGCAGAAAGGCTTTAATTCCCTCCTTGCAGATTCCCCATTTTGCTCTATTCATCGTCCATAGTATGCTTGCCCACCTTCTTTTTTCTAAGATTTTTTTGTTTATGTTTATGCATGAGTGTACTCTATCTGCATGTATATCTTTAGGCCAGAAGAGGGCATCAGACCACCATCAGAGATGGTTGTGAGCCACCACCATGCAGGGCCTCTAGAAGAGGAAGCAGCCAGTGCTCTTAACCGCTGAGCCATCTCTCCAAGCCCACAATTTTTTTAGGAGCTGGTCAGTAGTATACTTGCCCACCACATTTAATTGTTACATTGTAATGAAGAACCAATTTGGCTCTCAAAAATTATATTTTTTGGCCCAGCATGGTGGTGCACACCTTTAGACCCAATACTTGGGAGGAAGAGGCAAGCAGAACCCTACAAGTTCCAGGCCGGCCAGCTTAGTCTACATAGTGAGCATAGTGAGTTTCATGATGGCCAGGGATATGTAGAAAGACCCTGTTTCAAAAAAAAAAAAAAAAAAAAAAAAAAAAAAAAAAAGTAGAAGTGTTCTTTGGGAAAAGCTTTCTCTTCTATCTTCCTAGTAGATACTCAGAATTCCTCAATACATAGCCCTGGAACATCTTTTTTTTTTTTTTTTTTTACATCTACGCTATTTAAAACAGGTGAAATTCCAAGCACAAAAAAGCTTTGTTCCTGCTGAGCAGTGGTGGATGCACACCTTTAATCTCAGCACTCAGAAGGAAGAGACAGATGAATCTCTGCGTTAGAGGCCAGCCTGGTCTACAGAGTTCCAGGAAAACCAGAGCTGCTACCCAGAGAAACCATGGGGGGGGGGGGGGAGGAGACAACAACAACAACAAAGAAGGTCTTTTTCCTGACACCTAGCTGTAAAGCTCAAAATAGCTAGCTTGCTTTCTCATTAAGCACAACTAGCCCATTTATTATCACCCATACAGGAAAAGCAGATAGTGTACAGGGGAAGAGTACAGAATTGGCCTAAAACACTTAAAAGAGTTCTCAATTCCCAGTTCTGTCTGCCACCCAAGCAGTAATAAGATGTACAAAGTAACAAAATTTGAGACAGCCCATGACTTTGGGTTCCCACAAGTCCTAGCTCTGACAGAATGCACGAGGGACTGCGGGTTCTCTATCACTTCCAGTAGTAAGGAGTTTTTTGTTGTTGCTGTTTTGCTTGTTTTTGTTTTTGTTTTTGTTTTTCTGTATTTAATTAAAGTTGCTAATCAGAGCATAAGGCAATTAAATTAGAAACTGAACTTTCTAAAGAACTGCTAATTCAATGTGTTCATATGGTAATACAAAGTTCTCTTGAGAGATGCTGTAAGGAAAGAAAACTAAAGGAAGTAATCTAACATGACAGGATTGACAAGATCATTAAGTAAACAAAAATAACATTAAGACAATTCACAGCCGGGCAATGGTGGCACACGCCTTTAATCCCAGCATTTGGGAGGCAGAGGCAGGCAGATCTTTGTGAGTTCTAGACCAGCCTGGTCTTTAAGAGCTAGTTCCAGGACAGAGAAACCCTGTCTCGGAAAAAAAAAAAAAAAAAAAAAAAGACAATTCACTAGGATGAGATCAATGAAACCATCTTAACTCCTCACTGAAGCCCCCTGGTGGCTATTTAATTCCAATGCTAAACACAACTGACTTCAAACAATGATTAACACCAAACAAAAACTAAACTAAAAACAAGCCAAATCACAACCTTAAGAGTTCTGTGTTGTGAAAAGCCAAACTCAAGATATATTCATGATATGGATAAACTGAATATATATGTATATACATATGTGTATGTATATGGTGTGTGTGTGTGTGTGTGTGTGTGTGTGTGTATTCTTTTTGAAACAAGGTTTCTCTGTAGCCCTGGCTTTCTTGGAACTCACTCTGTAGACCAGGCTAACTGAAAATATTTTCATATATATGTATGTATGTATTTTGTTTGTTTGTTTTGTTTTGTTTCTCTGTAGCTTTGGAGGCTGTCCTCGAACTCAGAGACATCTGCCTGCCTCTGCCTCCTGAGTGCTGGGACTAAAGGCATGTGCCACCACTGCCTGGCTTTTTCTCGAATACGTTTAACAAGGAAAATATAATAATCACAAGTCATATGACTTGTGAAGTTAAGAAATGTCCATCAGTTTTACCTCAAATGCTTTTTCAAATTCATAAAATGAATGCTGAGAAATTGGTACACTCCTCTATACTATGTAGTACTTCAATAAATAGCCAAGGGACTAGAGAGATGGTTCAGTGGTTGAGAGCACTGGCTGCTCTTCCAGAGGACCCAGGTTCAATTTCCAGTACCCACATGGCAGCTCACAACCAGCTGACTCAAGTTCCAGGGGATCTGATACCGTAACATAGACAGACAGACATGAAGGCAAAACACTAATGCACATAAAACAAACAAAAAACCTCCAAAATACTGTTAAGCAAGAGACTGAGTCAAATCTTTAGCATCTCACACCCACCTTTGTTTCCCTGATAACAAAGATGTTAACTGATTTTCACAAAGTCATGTATCAGCTACTAGGACCAGAACTTTCTCTACCTCCTGAGCTCTTTCTGCCTTAACCACTACAGACATTCTCCCAGAACAAGAATGTTTCTTTGCCTTTACAAATGAATTTGAAATCTATGTTCAATTACAGAGTATATGGTTTGCTTTATCTATGATGATAATTATGAAACCAGTGCCAGTCCCAGGCAAAAATTTAAAGGTCATAGAACTTGCTACACAGAGCTAGTTATTTTGTCTGAGTGACTTAGTGTTTCCTTCCACCATGTAGATACCAAGGATCAAACTCAGTTCCTAAGGCTCAGCAGCAATCATCTTTACCTGAGGAGCCATCCGTCAGCCCTCCCCCTCGTATTCTTGATGAAAAGCTCTTTAACAAGTCTAGCTCTCTTAACAATATTCTCAAACTTCCACTTGACCCCAGGCCTCAATACTAAAACAGAGAACCATCTATACTTTCCTTCTCTATCTTTCCACTGTAAGACCCTCAGAATGAGGGTTCGGTCAATACCCCAAGAACTCAATGTCCAGTCCAGTTGCTGCAAAACGCAAGAGGCTTTAATGAACAGGAAACATTTGCGCAAACGGGCCCTCCAGCACACAGGCTAGAGAGAAGCCCCCTCCCCTAGGCCCAGGTGTTTTTAAAGGCAAACCCACTAGCTTAGGGAGGGGGTGGGACCCTCTGTCCATTGAGTATGTGACCCTTGGAGGCCGGATGGTCTGCTATTAGGGTCAGCAGATCTTAGGGCCTCAGGGTGTGCTAATTAATCTTGTCTGGGCAAACCAGAGTTACAGCAGCTATCACTTTGTTTCCTACGTACCCTATTTACCACCTGTTGACTCACAGGAAAGGAGGGGCAGAAAGGAGGGGCAGTGTGAATTCTTGTCATCTCAGGGCCTGGTGAGAGGAAGCTAGCAAATTCCAAGGAACAGATATTGGTTAGCTTTCCAGGTCAGACCATCCTTCATTTAACTTCACTTTTTGGTCTTTCACCACAACACCCAAAAAAAATTTTTTAAAGAATAAACACTACATCAATCTCCCCCAAAACAAAAACTTTTCAGTCACTTAGACAAAAGAAGTGAGATATACTCATATATCCATTAAATAAATTCCTATCTAGGGGCTGGAGAGATGGCTCTGCACTGTCTATTCTTCTAGAGGACCCAGGTTCAATGTCCAGTACCCATATGGGAACTCAAAACTGTCTAACTTCAGTCCCCAGGAACCAGACCTCTCTTGGTCTCTGAGGACACTGCATCTAGTAGACAGATTTACATACATAAAAAATATCCATACATATAAAGTCATTGAATTAAAAAAAAACTCTGATCTTAATGCAAGAAAGTATTTTCTGGAAGTTGGAGAGATGGCTCAAGAGCTGAGAACACAGGCTGCTCTTCCAGAGGTCCTGAGTTCAATACCCAGCAACTACATGGTGGCTTACAACCATCTATAATGAGATCTGATGCCCTCTTCTGGCCTACAGACAAAACACTGTATATATATAATAAATAAATAAATCTTTAAAAAAAAAAAAAAGTAGTAGGGCAGTGCTTGCACATGTCTTTACTCCCAGCATTCGAGAGGCAGGTGGATCTCTGTGAGTTCTAGGCCAGCCTGGCCTACAGAGAGAGTTCTATAATAACCAAGCCAGGACTACACAGGGAAACCCTATCTCAAAAGACATGGGATACACTTGTAATTCTAGCAGTTGGAAGGCAGGAGGATCTCTATGGATGCGAGGTCAGGCTGGTAAACATAGCAAGTTCCAGAACAGCCAGGACTACATAGTGAGACATCTCTAAAAAAGGGCAAATTAATTATTTAACTAATTAATTTTCTAAAAGAACAACTTGCCTGAGAACTTCCTTTTACTCTAGGAAACGGAAAGAAGGGCATTAGTTGGAGAAAAGAAACAACTGCAATGTATACACACAGTTAAAAGAGAGCCTACCCCAGACATGAAACCATGTAACAAAAGCCAGTAAGTCCCACTGATCAAATAAAGCAGAGCACCAAATTATGAGCTGAGGACACTTCCACCAAGGACTAAGGATTTAAGGCATGGTGGCACCTCAGACGCAGGGGCAGGCAGATCTCTCTGAATCCCAGGTCAATCTGGTAGTTTTCATAGTGAGTTCCAGGCCAACTAAGGCTACATAAGTAAGATAGTCTAAAAACAAAAAAAAAAAAAAAAAAAAAAGAAGAAGAATGAACACTAAACAGGTACATTCTACCCAGTCAACTGTTAGAGGAAGGAACAAATCTAAAGACTTCAGTGAGCAAAGAAAAATCCTAAATATTTTTTAATCTGTCAGCCTGTTCTACTTCAGGAATTCTACTTCAGACAAAAGATGAATTCATAAATAAAAAGTACAGTTTAGAAAACAAATTAGGGCATGGTAAGATCAACATTTCTAAAAAGTATGTTTTCTTTAATTCACCAAAATAACTACAATACTTTGATTCAAAGGCATTTATCTAAGAATTATCTATTTTTGACCTACTATCATAAACCAGAAACAAGTAAATTTGAAGACTGCTCTACAAATGAAGCTTATACCTTGGCTTCAATGAATCATCAAAGTGGGGATAGATGGCTTAATAGTTATGAGCACTTATTGTTCTTTGCGGAGGACCTGAGCTCAGTTCCCAACACTCTTATGGTGGTTTATGACCATCCATAACACTAGTCCCAGGGTAGCCAATGCCCTCTTCTAGACCTCCAAGGGCACCAGACACACACATGTATACATACATGCATACAAAAACTGATACACATAAAATAAATCTAAAAAATAAAAAAGCATCATCAAAACAAGAAACCAGAATTAATAAAATAGAATTCCAAAGTGAGATCCACATGTCCTGGATTTCTGAAATCCCTCACTCCAACCAATATACTATTGTGGACTTTTGTTTTTACTTGCATACCCACCTAAGATACAGCAGACAATTAGACATACAACCAACTGGCAACTCCAGCCCCTAACTTTATATATTACCAAACATATTATATACTACCTGCCTTCCCTTTTAAAATACAAGCCTCATGAAAGCATTAATGTGTTTTTCCAACTGTATCCTTACTGGCTACAGTACGACTATAAACACTCAACAAACACTAGTTCCAGAAATGATCTATTTTGAACAGCTCAAAGTCCAGTTTAAACTTCTAAATAACATGTATAGAAACATCACTCACTTCCCAACACATGAAACACAACAGATGGATGTTCACCCACTAATAAAGGCACAAAAGCCATACAAAACACGACAAGAAAAGATGCCACAAGGCTTAATTGATGCTCATAAGAAATTTTGTGACACAAGATGAAAGGTACCACAGACACAGAAAACATTACAAAGGTGTGGCAATACAATACCTCAAAGACAAGAATCAGTTTGTGACCCTGATGTAATGAGGATTCCAGGGACCACTGACAATCTCCACTTACAAAGCAAAGCATGGAACAGACTCAAAGTATCAAATGCCCTGTAACAAAGAGAAACTGACATGATAAGTTCTGAGTGTCCTCCCAGCTGTCCCTTCCACACAGTTCCACAGTGAAGTAGGCATCTTTCACTGAAACACTTTTTTCATTTTATCTACTTCCTGTCATCAGTTATCACTTACCTCCTGCCCTGTAGCTGCTTCCATATCAAGAAATAGATCAAGAAGGGATCGCACCAAACGAGCTGCTTTAGCCTTACTGATGGAATTCAAGAAAGGTCGTACATATTTCAGAAGTCCTCCAAGCTCTGTGTGGGCAGCAATTCAGAAAATAAAATATAAATGTTAATATTAGAACCAAAATGATAATTAAAAAAAAACAAAGCCTCAAGGGGTAAAGGTGCTTGCTGTCAAGTCTGACAACCCACCTTAGTTAGACCCCTGGAACCAAACAGTGTAGAGGCCCAACTCCTGCAAGTCATTTTTTAAGTTCCACACAAGCACATGACATGCATGTACCCCCAACATATACAAAATAAATTCATCAATAAATAAATGTTTGAAAAAAAATCATAAAAAAAAAAAAAAAAACAAGCTGGGCATTGGTGGTGCACGCCTTTAGTCCCAGCACTCAGGAGGCAGAGGCAGGTGGATCTCTGTGAGTTAGAGGCCAGCCTGGTCTACAGAATCCTGTCTGGGAAAACAAACAAAAACAAAAACAAAAACAAAAAAAAAAAACCAAAACTGAGCCACTGTAATAAAAACCATGTGGTTTTAGTCTAATGCAACCATCAGAAGTTTTGACAAGCTCCAACAAAGTCAAGTGTGGTAGATCACATCTATAATCCTAGCACTTGGGAGGTTGAGGCAGAATTACCTTGACTCTGAGGTTAGCCTCATAATGAGTTCTAAGTCAACTTGAGCTACAATGGGAGACCTATCTTAAAAAAATTTTTTTTTTTTTTTTTTAGCCAGGCATTGGCGGCACATGCCTTTAATCCCAGTGCTCGGGAGGCAGAGGCAGGCGGATCTCTGTGAGTTCGAGGCCAGCCTGGTCTACAGTGCTAGTTCCAGAACAGTCTTCAAAGCAATACAGAGAAACCCTTTCTTGAAACCACACCCCCCAAAAAAACAAAAAAAATTTTTAGCCAGGTCCAAGACTTTAATCCCAGCACTTAGCAGACAGAGGCAGGCAGATCTCTGAGTTCTAGGACAGCCAGCATTACACAGAGATACTAAGTCTTGAATCCCTACCCCCCCACACACACACCCAAAACAAACAAACAAACAAAAAGAAAAGAAAACTTTTAAATTCAGGTAATAGAATACCAACAATACTGTTACATGCCAAAGTTGTATTCCATTCCCATTTATTCACTGGATTACTCATGGGGAAACTCCCATCTATGCCTCATTTATCCATTTTAATGAAAGATACACACAGCAAAGTACTTCTGTTCTCACAGAACAGTTATAGAACATGAAATATGCTGTGCACCTGCCCACTGTGGACAAAATCACCAGCTCAGAACCAGCAAATATCAAGTCATAAGGATAATGTTTTTAACCTCCAAATCCATGCCCTGGCAGCTTCCTTAAGATAGAAGTTTCCAAATCCAGGTCCCTCTCCCCTCTTAAAGCTTCCCTGTGTAGCATTTCAACATTAACACTTCCCTGGCACAGTGAAGTCAGGATGTCTTTTCCTTAAAAAGTTTCATTATAGCTAAGTAATGGTGGCACATGCCTTCACGCCCAGCACACAAGAGGCAGAGGCAGCTGGATCTTTGTAGTTCAAAGCCAGCCTGATCTACAAGAGCTAGTTCCAGGATAGTTAACGCTACACAGAAAAACCCTCTCTGGAAAAAAACAAAAACCAAAACAAACAAAAAGTTTCATTATACACTTTAAAAATTCCTCATTAATCTCTAAAGTCTAAATCGTAAGTAATGACTTTAAAAAGCTGTCCATCATAAAGCTTTCTTCTCCCTTTTATAAGAGGACAGTTCAGAAAATCTGAAGAAGAGGACTAAAATCAGGAATGACTTTAGTAGCAGTAGAGGAGTGCTTGTTAAACCTTAAAAACTAGAAAATGCTTTTTTAAAAGGTTTTTTGTTGGTTGGTTGGTTGGTTTTGGTTTTTACAAGACAGGGTTTCTCTGTGTAACAGCTCTATATAGACTAGGCTGGCCTTGAACTCACAGAGATCTGCCTGCTACTATCTCCCTAGTGCTGGGATTAAAGGTGTGTACAACCACACCCATCCTAAAGATTATCTTTATTGTTTCTAAGTATGTTTGCCAGTACCTGCACATAAGAACAAATGTTCTTACAGGTCAAAGAACAGAGGACTCAAGATGCTCCTAGAGTTAGTTACAGGCGGTTGTAAGGCACCCAATAAAAAGAATAACAGTGTTCTTTATTGAGCCCTCTCTCCAACTTCTAGACAATGTTTTAACTAAACAAGTATTTTAGGAATGTAGGTTGATGCTACCTTAGTGCCAATGTCTCTTTAATACTAATTGTAGACTTAGCCTCCTGAGAGTTCTAATTCAGGGCAGGCAAACTTTGCCCTCCTGAGAAGTCAAAGTCAGCGTCCTTGAAGCCCTCATCTGCCTGAATTCAGAGGGTGCACAGAACTATGTAAGGTGCTAAGGGAAAGCTACACAGAATGAGAAAGCTCACCTTTCACTCCCCAGGACTGACTTTTGACTTCCAGTGTCTGAAACTTCTTTCCTTTCTGCTCTCATTTATCTATGTGCACGTAGGGGTGGGGCTGGGGGAGGCACCTGGCTGTCAAAGTATTCCACTACTGAGACATATACATCCCTAATTCGTGAAAGCTTATCAGAAGTAGTCTGATACAATATCCTTGCTTCCATATTTTAGTGACTAATATATTCAGAAATCAGGCTTTTCTTTTTTTGGGGGGGTGGGAGGAAGGGCGAGGTTCAAGACAGGGTTTCTCTGTGTAACAGCCTTGGCTGTAGACCAGGCTGGCCTTGAACTCACAGAGATCCGCCTGCCACAACCAACACCACCACCACCTAGAAGTTTGGAATATCTGTATCTTTCTCATTACCTTTCTGAAAGGTGGAAAAATATTTGCCTACTCTCAATGGTCAAATACTTCATCCTCATGATTTCTCTGAGTAAGTGGTTTCACTAGTACTCCTTTAATGCCAAAAGACAGAAATTGTCAGAGCCGAGAGAAAGGAACTTATAAAGACCATGTGCTCTCTCCTCTCACCTACCTTGTCTTTAATTCTCTTTCTGATGTTATTTCTATCTTTTCTGTTTGAAAATCATTTTCCTTCCTAGAAAAGGCAGAAGTGAGACATGAGCTAAGGTGTCTGCCTTTATCTCTAGCATCTGCTAGCATTATTTTCTCTAAGTAATGCTATTCTTAACAGAGGATCTGAGCTATCTTTTTTAATCTCATTTTCTACTTTAGTCTATTACTATTGAGCATTCTTATACATATTCAGTTTCTTTCCATGTCTGTATATTGCTTTAATTTCATAAAAATTAGCTGCAGTTTATGATCAGAATCTCCTTCTTAGAATCTAACAGACTCAGCAAAAAAATTTTTATCAAATTTTTCCATAGACCCTGGGCTTAGACATCTTGTTTGCTAATGCTCAAAACTACTTTCAATCATTACAATACATTAAACCTTATCTTATTCATTGACCTTCAAGTACTATTTCCCACCAGGAATCCTATCTTAAACATTTTAGGAAGGGTACTTAGCATAGTGCCAAATAACTATCAAATGCACAATAAAGCAAAACTGAAGATTAAGAGAAAAGACATATTTTCAAAGCTAAAAGTCAACAGACGTCTATCAAATAATTAATTGCAAAGGTAGGTAAATTAGTACAACAGGCTCCAAGACCACCTCAAGATTTCTGTTCTATGACTACTGACCCATAAGGGTCAAGCTGACTTAAAAAACAGTAAGCAGCCTAGAAGGGTTTTTGGAAGCTATTATATTTCACCTATTAAATCCCAGCAAGTAGCCAGGTGTGGTGGTGCACACCTTTAGTCCAAGCACTTGGGAGGCAGAAACAGATAGATATCGGAGTTTGCCTGCCGGGTCTACAGAGTAAAGATCAGGAAAACAAGTGCTACATACAGAGACTCTCTTCGTCCTCCCTCACTCCCCCCCCAAAGAAAAAAAAAATCCAGCAAGTACAGCAGTATATTCCCTAACTAATCATTCTATAGAAGGTAAGAATGAAGAAGAAAAACTTTTTTGAAATGGTATTTCAGTAATCTCATTAGAGAAGAATTATTGAAACACAGTATATACTAGATACAAGGTCGTTTTTGTTTTGTTTGTTTGTTTTGAAACAGGATCTCACTATACAGTCCTGATTGTCCTAGAACTCACTATGTACATCAGGCTGGTCCCAAACTAATGGAAATCAGGCTGCCTCTGCCTCCCAAATGTTGAGATAACTAACAGGCATGCACCATCCACATCTTTACTTAACTTTCTATTGATTGAGCCTGTAATTAAAAAGATAAATTATCATTAATTATAAAATATCTCAGTTTACAAATTCAAAAAAATTTGCTATCCTACCTTCACCATTCTCTTGGCTTACTACATAACCTAAAAGAAAGTAACTCATGAAGTGACTTGCCAGAACTCCCTTCATGCTAATCAGACATTCTAAATTCAATTTAATTTCTTGTATGATTTATGTTATGTATATGAATGTATGTCTGTGTACCATGTGCATGCCTGGTTCTCTCAGAGGTCAGAAAAGGGCATCAGAACCCCTGAGATTGGAGTTCAGACAATTAGGTTGAACCGCCATGTGGGTGCTGGGAACCAAATCCAGATCCCCTATAAGAGCAATAAATGCTCTTAACCCCTGAGCCATCTCTCCAGCCCCTCTAATTTTACTTTAAGTGACAAAAATTACCCAGGTTAAGTTTAAGCACACTTATGATATTATTACCACTGTATTGGTCAAAGGCCCTTTCTAAGCAACAGGACTTTCCTTATTTCAAGAGCACCCCATCATCCAACTATCACCTCAAGCCCAGCCAGCCAATGGTTGAATTACCACTAGGACATAGCAACAAAAATGTGCAAAAGTCCCAGGTACCAGGAAGAAGTCTTAGGAAGGCACTATTTTATGTCTTACTCATTCTGCATCAGAAAACGTGAGTCACTTGGATACAAAAACCTATAGCCTGTTTTTTTTTTTTTTTTCAAATAAAGAGCCTAAAGTCACTCTCTTTAAATATACCAAAGCTAGTCAGTGAAATTGCTGAAGACTGCTGCAGCCTGTATGGATATACAGTGGTGATTCAAAATAAGGAACAAATCTCAGATCACCACTATATGCCAACAAAAACAGGACTTGGCCTCACCTGTAGAATACAATTTTACACTTTTCTGTTACAAAATTGAAGAACAAGTTGTCAGGAAAATAAAACTGATTAATACCACAAATGAACTTGGTGTTGGTCGCAGTCCAGTGTTCTAAGAGAAACTCCATCTGGTGTTTCAGACAAAAGCATCATAGGTACAATCATTTGTCAGACTTACCAGCAGCTTGTCCAGTCTTCGCCAGGAGAGACCCCAGTTCAAGGATGCTCTGCTCTTTGACCTGGACTGCCTCCTCATCATTTTCTTGAATGTCACGTTTCACTGAGAAAAGAAAATGAACTCTTAAAATTGTGATTAAAAAAAAAAAAAAATGAGGCAAAAGAAAATTCACCCTTTAAGACCCATTATGAACTCTTGCATATTTCCCAAATGAAACCGAATAAGGGCTAAAAAAGTAAAATAACCAGGTATCTATAGGACATGCCTCAGAACAATAATAATCAAAAAAAAAAAATAGATTCTTCTCTTTAAGTGGGCCTTTTTAAGCAACCCCTTAGCATTCACCTCACCCAGATAATGAAGTTTCTGCAATGCCTGCCTAAAGTAAAAGAAAAAAAAAACCCTAAAGCAAATCCTTCCCAATTATGGTGATGACAAGCCCCATGCTAGACACTATGTTATATGAAGACTTTTTTTTCAAAAATGCCTGTGCATTTACCTATCACAAACTAAAGTCATTATAAAGTTATTGATTACTATAAACCAAGTCTTACAATAAACTTTTAAGGCTATAGAAAGCTTCAACTAAAAGATGTCTTAGGAATAACAATCCTATAAAGCCATTCTAGACAATTCCTTATCAAAGCTTCAGTATGATGGTAAACAGCTACACTTAGAAGAGATTGCTGCTCAGCAGGGCGTTGGTAGCATACACTTTTAGTCCCAGCAATGGAGGCAAAGGCAGGCTCTCAGTGAGTGTGAGGCCAGCCTGGTCTACAGAGCTAATTCCAGGACAGGTTCCAAAACAAAATAGAAAAACCCTTCCTCAGGAAAAAAAAGGATTCAGGTCCTGTTGAAGAAACTTTCTGTCTGTCCCACTTTCAACTGTTAATAATTATTCAACCATCTGAACCAAACAGCCTCTCCAAAGTTTGTGTTGCTTATTTTGTTGATCATCACTAGTTACCACTGCAAACCATCATGACTTGACAAAAAAACCAAGATTTCGATATTTCATTATGGAGTCCAGAAAAACTAAGGCTGTCACCCTTCATGATTCAAGCTTGCTCTAACAGGGAAGCTTGTAGGGGGCTGTACTTTAGTGTAGTAAGCAACAAAGAAATACTCTAATGGTAGTATTTATCAGCAATTTCTACTTTCTGAAAGGCAAACAAATCAAGCACTAGGCACAAAAGAAAAGCTAAAACTCATGCTCCTCAGATTAGTTCTAAATATTAATATGTGTTCACAGAAAAACACCTATGTAACAATAATCGGATGACTCTGGTACCCTGTCCTAAAACTTACTTAGTTATCCAAAATGCACTTGATCAACACTATTCCTTCAAAACGCATTGTGATCACCATCTCCTCTCCTTTTCTAGTACCCCCAAAGAAAAAGGCATCAAGCTCTTCTCACTGTCCTTTCTCTATGCAAGTCTTGAGAACTGAAATCCAACAGACTAATAAGTCAACATAAGCACCAACATCCTGAAAGTCCTTCATACACCCGCACTCATTACTTGTTGATCCAATCCGAATCTTGCCAGGCTACATTTAAAAGATCACATTATCACCAGAAGAAACTCATGCCCTAACTGAACCTTTCAGGACTGAATATTAAAAAGCCTTTTCCGCCATTACTCATTTATTTCTATTCACACCCGAAGAAAGAGACCGGCTGAGGACTCCTATTTCAACTTTACTGTTGCTTGCCCTCAGGTTTAAGACAATCACACTATGTTAAAGTTTTCTTTTTCTCCAACAATGTGCAGTCGGCCGGTTCCAAAGAGTTCCCTGAACAACAGACGACTAACTCTGAACTCAAACTTCAACCCCTACTGGGGAGAATTCGTCACCTCCTCTGTCCCGGCGGTCCCACCCCGACACTTCGCCTCCTCACAGTCTACACCGGACAGAGGACCGTCTTGGCCACGTCCACCACATGCCGCTCTGAGGTGTGTGGCAGCCCTCAACTTCCAACACCCTCTTTTGCTGGAGGCTGCTGCGGAGGGCTGGGGGTAAGCAGCAGCTCCCAGCGTCCCGTGAAAGAAAACTCCAAGGGAAGCGCTCGCGCTCCTCCCCGGAGCAACCTGTGCTGATAGCAACGGCGGGAAATGCCAGTCCTGGGCGGCTGTCGCCCAGACCTCTCAAGAACACACTCTGTGACCAGTTTGTGACCAGCAGTGGCTCTCAGCCGCGGGCCAGCTCACGCGGGCCACAACCCGGGACCCTTAGGGGTAGTGAACCCGGCCCGGCCCTCTCCCCACGCTGCCCTGCGCCCACCGTGAGTCAGCAGCCAGCAGGTGGATGCGCGGGCTACCTCGGGGCTTCCCGCCCGACTGGAAGCCATAGGGCTCCCGGGGGCCCCGAGCGGCCTGCGCCCCCGGCCCGGCCCCCCTCACACACAGTGAGTCAGCAGCACCATAGCCGGCTAGCCCGGCCCCTCTCCGCCGCCTCCGACCGACACAAGCGGCGCCGGGACGGCGGGGCCGCGGGGACGGCGCGAGGACCTTTACCGATGGAGTGGAGGATGTCGATGGAGGCCTCCCGGTCGGTGCTGAGTAGAGACTGAGCTCTCTGGAACTCCACTACCGCTGCGGCCGCCATCTTACCGCTCTCACACCGTCCCCGGCCGCGGCCGCCGACGCCGGAAATACACACCCGGAAGGCCCGCCCTCTCGTCCCTCCCATCGGGGGCCCCACCCCTCTTCTCTGAGCACCCCGGGAGTTGTAGTCTCTCTGCCGGGCGGGCGAATCAAGAGCTTCCCGCCAGCGGCATTCGAGCTCTCCAACACCATCTTGCGGCCAGCTCTGAACAGACAAGACGGAAGTTAGTCCCCCTCCTCCTCAAAAGGGACTAGGTGTTCAGGAGAAGCTGCTTGGCTATCTTTATAGTATCCATGTTCGACCAGTCATTCATAGCGATAGATGACCTTTCAAACTGGCTGTTGCATGGCAGGGAATAGTACCGTTTGGATTCGTTCATCTGTCTTGCAGAAAGGACATATGCACACACTCCCTTCCAGTGCTAATGAAATCACAAGTGTCACAGTCCACTTCCTTCCCCAAATAACCATTCCATCCTCGGACAGAGCTTCACATTATGAATTGAAAATCATCTTTGACCCATTCATTCAACCTAAATAGTTCTTGAGATTCTTCACATAAATGACTCACTCCAGCTTCCCAGATCAACAATGGAACAAATTTTTCCTCCCTTATCCCTAATTCCTTCTACTGTAATCGAATATCTATGAGGATGTCAAGGAAAGGGGGAAAAAGTACAGCACGCTTTATATAACCATCAAGGTTTAACCTGAGGATGTTAGAACAATACAGAGAGAGAGACATTTTAGGTGGTGACAATCCAGACACGAAATAGCTGTACTATAAAAGAAACTGTAATGGGACAGTGGTGGTGCACACCTATAATCCCAGTTCCAGGACAAACTCCAAAGCTACACAGAGAAAACTAGTCTTGAAAAACTAGAAGGAAAGGAAGGAAGGAAGGAAGGAAGGAAGGAAGGAAGGAAGGAAGGAAGGAAGGAAAAAAAGAAGAGGGAGGGGAGGAGGGAGAGAGGAACATTGCACTCCTTTGTGACTGGATCAATCAAGCTGTCTCCTTTTATCTTTCAATGTTCTGTGAAGAAGATATTTAATTCCTTAATAGTTAAGGAAACTGAAGGGAATAAGTGATTGATGATAATAGTAACTGACAGCTGAGAACTGGCAGTGTATAATATATTCCTAATCCCTGTAAGTTTTCTAATGAAAATCAGGTAACATCTCATCAAGCTGGTTTGTCACATGAAATGGCTTCTAAATTCTCTCAACTCTGAAATTCTATGTACTTCAGTGTAATACTGTGATTTTTTCCCCCTCAAAGAAAGTATTCTTCCTTTATTTTTTTTTCTTTCAGTTATTTGAGACAGGGTTTTTCTGTATTGCTTTGGAACCTGTCCTGTAACTCTCTCTGTAGACCAGGTTGGCCTTGAACTCACAGAGATCCACCTGCCTCTTCTGCCTCCCGAGTGCTGAGATTAAAGGCATGTGCCACCAATGCCTCACTGCACTCTTCCTTTCTTAACCTGAAGTATAACTAATAATAATATACTGGTTTATATTGATTTCTGCCTGTATGTAGGAACTCACATGCCATGGTATGCCTATGGAGATCAGAGGACACTTGTAGAAGTCAGTAATCTCCATCCATCATGGAAATTAAACTCAGGTACCCTTACCTGCTGAGTCATCTTGCTAACCGTGTGTGTGTGTGTGTGTGTGTGTGTGTGTGTGTGTGTGTGTGTGTGTGTTGTTTCTTTGGGTTTTTGGTTTTCTGGTTTTTTGTTTGTTTGTTTCATTTTGTTTTGTATTGCTTTTTGTGACAGGGTTTCTCTGTGTAGCCCTGGCTGTCCTAGAACTCACTTTGTAGACCAGCCAGCCTTGAATTCACCAGATATCCATTTGTCTCTGCATCCCAAGTGCTGGGATTAAAGGCCTTCGCCACCACTGCCCAGCTCTGTATCTTTTCTTCACCATTTCAATTGAATAATCATCCATAAAATGCCATGAAAGAACAATAGGCTTTAGAAATTACAGATTTGCTGTAAATTATAGGCTGGCTACTAGTAGATGGTGACTTCTACAGGCTCTTACTCACTTTGATCTTTAGCTTCCCTATCTGGAAAACAGAAGTAAGAAAACCCAGCTCACAAGGTTGCTGTAAGAATATGAGATAAAGTGGGAATCCAGTGATGAATGTTTTCTTCCTACTTTTAACATTTCCCTAACATAATACTAGGGAGTGATGTATACTGCATCACCTATTGGCTACAATGAGAGCCATACCAATAAACTTAAGAACACTGTGAAAGTAGTAACTTTCAGGAGTGCTGAGCTCTGGGCATCACCAAAAGCTCACACCCACCTTCTTACCTTTGTCCTGGCCTCTGTTCTTCCTGAGACTGACTCTTCATGTCCTCTTTGCATGGAGCTGGTGTTAGGGACTGGGGAGACTCTGGCTAGGATCTCCACTAAGAACTGCAAACCCTGTTCCCTATAAACCACTTCTCCACATTCAGCTTGTCACCTTCCCCCTTCTCCGTCTGCTCAGTTGTCATTTTTTACCTTATCTTTTTTCGCCTGCCTTCATTCCCCCATCACCCATCACTCTCGCCTTTTCCCCTTATGTCCCTTAGAGGGTTTCAACTCAAAGGTCATTCAACAAGGATGATTTCTGGCTGAGCTGTGCTGACGAACACCCTTGATCACAGTATCTTGAAAGGCAGAAACAGGCAGATCTATGAGAGTTCGAGGTCAACCTGGTCCACAGAGTGAGTCCAAGACAGCCAGGGTGGTTACAAGCCTACCTCAAAAAGCCAAAAACAACAATAAAAAAGGGGCTTTCTGTACCATTCCATCAAAATTGATGTCTTATACCTGCAGCTCAGCAAGCATCACCTAATTCTGTTTACTTCCTTCCTCCAGAAGGTACCTTATCTTGCTGATGGTTGGCATTCCTATTCCTACAACAGCAGCTTACACATGGCAACCACAAGATGCGTGTTAGATTAGTGCCTCTAAGTATCCCGTCTCAGTCTTCTGCTGCCCTAAAAGTCCATGTTCTTTTCCACACCACGAGCAGAATACCCAATTACCTTAGCCACTGCTGAGGGAATTGAAGAGGGATGCGGAGCCTAAGTTTTATGGGTCCTGGTTTAAGGAAATTAGGTATGATGCAGCATATAATGATGCATGCCTTTAGTCCCAACAATTAGCAGGCAGAGGTGGGCAGATTTCTGTGAGTGGGAGGCCAACCAAAGCTAATTGTGAGACCCTGTCTCAAAAAAGAAAGAAAAAGAAAGAAAAAAAAAAGAAAGAAAGAAAGAAAGAAATGAGGTAGGCTATTTCTGTGCCTGAGAAACTCAGTCGGCCAAAAGAAAATCAAATCAGACTCAGCAAAGCCAAGTTGATAGGCTGGGCGGTGGTGGTGGTGTGTGTGTGCTTTAATTCCAGCACTTGGGAAGCAGAGACAGGCATATCTCAGTGAGTTCCAGGCCAGCCTGGTCTACAGATTGAGTTCCAGGACAGACCCTAAAGCTACAGAGAAATCCTGTCTTGAAAAACAAAACAAAACAAACGAACAACAAAAAAAAAAAACCTTAGCTGACAAATAGGAAGATGATGATCACGGTAGGACACACACATGGTCCTAAAAACTGTCTTCCTGCCAGCTTCACTCCCATGAAACCCAACTATCCCAAAGCCTTGGAACACTGACTCCTTTCCAAATATCTTTCTAAAAAGTTTGTTGTTGTTTTTTTTTGTTGTGTGTATAGGTGTGTGGTTATTTGGTTCGTTGGTTGGTTTTTCAAAACATGATTCCCTGTGTAGCTCTGGCTGTTCTGGAAACTGCTTTGTAGATCAGGCTAGCCTCAAAACTCACAGGCATGCACCTGCTTCTGCCTCCCAAGAGCTGGGATTAAAGACATGTACCACCATGCCCAGATGTATATGTGTGTTTATGAGATGTGCTCACGAGTACAGGACTTATACAGACCAGGAGATGGATGTAGATCCTCTGGAGTTGGAGTTACAGGCAGTGGAGAGCACAAGACAGGGAAGCTGGGAACCCAACTCAGGTCTTCTGAAAACACTGGAGCCATCTCCTCAGTCCCCAAATATCTTCTAACTTTTTTCCTGTGCTATCAGGGAAACACCCTGTTCTGTAATAATGGCTACAGTGTCTTCCTCCCCAAAACAAAGGAGAAGGAGGAGGAGGATGGAGGAGTAAGAGGAAGGAGGAGGAGGAAGAAAATAGGCAGGGTTTAGATTCCTTACACTTACTTTTACTGTTGGGTCTGTATTACAACAAGCTGTATTATCACTGGTTATCCATTGAAGGTATAATGGAAAATATAAAAGTATACATCAAAACAGCTTGACTTTAAATAAATAACAAAGCACATAGTGTGTAGAGTAGGTACAATCAGAATGATGTAAGCAAATGATTGGCTCAGAAAAACCAAACCCCTATCAGCATCACTATGGGAACAACCATCTGTCACCAGTTATCCTTTTATTCCAAAATAATATTTCTTATCAGAAGATTAGCAAGTCTTTTGCATTGAGCCCAGATATATTATCCAAAGGATGCTTTTCTGGCTGTAGAAAAGAATTTCAAGTGAAATAAACATGGAGAGCAATATTTATCACTTTGCTACCAACTAATAGTGCAGCCTACCTACATTTATGAGATGAAGGTAAAATCGTTTTCAAAAACACCCACCAAAAAACAACAGAAACCTACTTCATTTAATTATTACTGTAACAATGCCCCAGACTTTTATAGGCCTCCAGACCTTAGCACAACTGACTCCATGGTAAAAGTACCATTCAGAGTATAAAACTAAGCATGCAGACAGCACCACCTGCCAAAATGAAAATAAAGACCTTATCCATCCATCTAAATGTACTAACCTTGTTTTTTGGCTTCTGTAATTCCACTTCTGGCTAACTGTTCTTGTTAACTGAACTATGTGTCAACTCAGGATATGTTTTATGCTTAAAAGCTCACCCTGAGAACGGCTCGAAGGCTACACATGGATCCTGAAGGAACAGTGTGGTCACTGGCTGACTGGTGAAGGCTTTCTGTTGGCTTAAAACCATATCCAAGCAGT